TGGGGTCCATCGGCTTTGGAGTGTCCAAGGGAGGCGCTGGCCCTATGAGGGTGGAAAATGAGGCCAGTGAGGGCTCCTCATCCTGGCGTCTCCCACAGGGGGATGTGATCAGCCCCACTCACACTCCCATGTTTCACACTTGTTCCGGCTACAAGTTCCTGTGCTTCCACTAAAAAGGAGACACCAACCACAATGGGAAAGTGTAAAAGAAAGAAAGAATAGTTTCTCCACTCCACCTGAGATGCCTCAGTGTATGAAATGCAGATTCCTGACTTAAAGACCTTATAGAACCGCCATCCCTTACTGGGAAAACTGGCGCCATGACCGACCTCAGAGAAAAGTCGGCATATTAGAAAACAGGCTATTTGACAGCCCATGCCCCCCCTCCTTCAGTTTTAACAAAATCTGAAATATCTACACGAAGTATTTTTATGTATTTATTTATTCTCAGGGTGCAGCAACAATAGGGCTTATTAACAAAGGGGATATAAAGTATTTTTAAAACTAGGAAATACATCCCCAGAAATTCTCGCAATCCTCTCCTTAAAATCAAAAATGAACTTCAAATGAGAATGATCGAGAAGAAAATGGAAGATAAAACTCCATCTATCCAGCAGGCTATGAATAAACAAAATGTGTGCGCCTGTGCGTGTGCAAATTAGGGGCAGCAGCCTGAAGACTAGAGAGGAGAAAAGAGGTGGCACTGGCTGATCGAAACTTGGCAGGCCCCAAACGAGGGGGCAGGCACACCGGCGGGAACATGTGTTTGTTTCTAGGAAAAGGCACCCTGAGCAGTGAGCTTTGTAGGGCGCCATGACACCAGGCACAAGGGAGGCTGAGGCTGCCCGGAGGCCCTAGACGGAGGCTGAAATTGCCGGAGGGTCATCTCTGCGCCTTCTGCTCAACTGTTTGTGAGCCAAAACCTGCCATATTTAAGAACAAGAAGTCCAGTCGTAAAAATCACTGCAGCATATGCCAACACTCTGACTCATTCTGCACCCTGGGGGTGTCCGAAGGCCGAATCCCCAGGGCCAGGTGTGCAAGCTTGCAATTGCAAAGGTTTTGACCTAACACGGCTGGTGACAGGCAGCGGGCGAGAGGAACTTGGCCACCCACCATATTCTACATGGTCCTCCTTGGCCCAAGCGTCACTATGGAGCGCGTGACTGTCCATTGAGAAGGGCAGTCTAGAGACATAATAAACTTTATCTTAAATTCCACTAGAAAAAAGACAGTTTTACTGCAGGACAGAGCCAGGCAACACTACTTCATCCTGGGCCAGACACGCAGAAAATCTAGACTCAAATATGTCTTCCTCCCCCAAGGTCAAGTGACCGGAGTCCAGTACTGAGTACTTCCCTGACTACAGATGAAGCAGAGCTGGACTGACGTCCTGCTCCCTCTTCCTGGTGGCGGACAGAGGGGCCTGAAGTTCCAGCCGCTGCTCACAACACCTCATGAGTACGCTGGAGCACAAGTTAATTCAACGACTCAAGCCCACTTTTTAAAGGCCCTGGTCTGAGGCACCCCGCTCCCAGAACGGGTGTTGGGGATCCGTCCTTCCACAGGAATTTGGATTTCGAAACGTTTTTGAATCAGCGTTTCTGCTAAGAAATACGATGAAACCAGGACCTCAGCTTCCCTCACAACCCAAACCACTGAGTACAGACTCCCCCATCTCTTATTTATCTGAAGGAAAAACAGCCTCTGTCCAAACAGCTAATGGAAACAAACCTGAGGTTGGGGTGCCTGTGGTTGCCCTTTTGATAGGCGGAGGCTGGCGAGGGCACCTGGGAGAGAACCCTCCAGGGAGACTGAGGAGAGGGGACTGAGGAGAAGCAGGCTGCTGCTGGCCTTTATACTGGTTAGACGCCCCCTCCCCCAGCCCTCACTTCCTTCCGGTAACGCCCACACCTACACTAATCCCTGACCACCGGTGTCCTAATCCTAATCCCCTCTGCTCTGCGGACTGGGTGCCATCCTCCCTTTCCTTTGCACTTCCGTTTCATTTGCTGCCCACACGGCTGAAACAACCCATTCCTAAGGATTTACAAAGGTGCACACACGATTACAGTTGTGGCAATACCCACTGTGTCTAAGGTAGCCCTACCTAGGTTTCCACGGGGTGGGGGGTGGGGGAGGGCCAGGATGGGCATCTCTGTGCCTTCTGCTCAATTGTTTGTGAGCCAAAACTTGCCATATTTAAGAAAAAGAAGTCCATTTGTAAAAATCACTGCAGCATATGCCAACACACCGACTCATTCTGCACCTTGGAGGTGTCCTAACGCCGAATCCCCAGGGCAAGGCGTGCAGGCTTGGAAATGCTGACCTTCTCGGGGTGGGTGAAAATCAAGCTGAAATGGGCCTGGCTGTGTGTCCAGGGATGAACTAGGAGTTGACTGAGCCGGGTCAGGCCTCGCCCTTGGTGCCCTGATTGGCGTTGTTGGTGTCAAAGTGCAGCTCAGAGGCAGAAAATGCCAGGGGCCCGGACTTCAGGGCTGGGACGTGACACGATGGCTGGAAAGCACAGGGGAATGTTGCTCTTCAGCCCCGGGTGCCTGGAGCAAGCGCCTGGTCAGGGGGACGCAGGGATCCTGGAAGCCAGGGAGCACTCGGGGTTGGGGATGGAGTTTGGGAACTCTGAGACCGTTTTGGGGAGCCCTGCCAGTCAACCACCTTTGGTGTGTGGGAGGAACTGGAATTTACAGAGAAAATCCATGCAGACATGGAGAGAACAAGCAAAATCCACAAAGATGATGGCAGCCTGCAACCCAGTGCTACTTTCTAGCGGGCATTATATCAAAATGACATCACCCCAGGACCTTGCCTGTGTGTTTGTGTGTAGATGTGTAATATCTGGCTTATATTTATGAAAATATATAATATATATGTACTTATGTTAATATATATCATACAACTATCATATATATGTGTAATGTATATGAACATATATATATGTGTGCGTGTGTATGTATATATGAGTGTGTGTTTGATCAGTGTCCATGCCCCAGTGCTGACTGGAAGTGAAAACAGACCATTATCTGCAAACGAGGAGTTTATAAGAATTTCTCACAAATAGACCCGCCAGGATGAGAGAATTAAAAAGGCAAATTCTGCAATTCCATTTAATCTCATACATTTATGTTGCTTAGTCATTTAAAGAGCATTGGACAGTCACCAGTTTTTTTAAAGATTTATTTTATTTATGCATACAAGAGCTGGGGTATAGGGCAGAGGTGCGAGGGCGGGGTTGAGAGCATCCACCAGAGACAGAGCGGGGAGCAGAACAGGCGGATCTACTGAGATACACTGCTTGAGGGGAGCGGTGGGGAGACAGGAGAGGTCTGCTGTGCCATGTGGGTCAGCTCCCTAGCCGGGGATCGAACTGAGGCTGCAGTGGTGGGCGATAGCTTCATAGTGCTGAGTCTTAACCCCTTATGCCACCAGAGAGGCCCAGCTGCCATTTTTTTTTATGCTGAAATTTTCAGTTATCAGCTAGGACTAGGGCTGTTTTTATATTTAATGAAGAAAACTAAAACATAAGTCTCCACGGATCCATTGCTTTTTTCCTACACACAGACACACAATGGCTAGATCCAGGAGCAAACACTTCCCCAAATCCAGTCAGGGATTGGAGCCACAATCGTGGAAACAGACCCACTTCTCGTGACTCATTCTTTTGCTTCAGGCTTCATGAGAAAGTACTCGACTATTGAGTGAAATGTTCATCAAAAAGACCCTCATAACAAACCCAAAATAGTAAATGATGTTCCAGTACCAGCTGTGTGTCCCCTAATTCAAGGCAATTCTGACACTAGTTTCCCTGGGACGCCACCAGCCGGACTGACCCCCGGGCTCCTTCAGATGCCAGCTCCCAGGACAGCTGTCACCCTGGGCCTGACCAAGCGGCTCACCCGAGGGTTATGTGCTACCGGGCTCAAGGGACTTAGAAAAACGTGTCCACAGCAGAGGAGCAGTTTGCTGTAGAGAGGGAAATGACCCCTGAACAGCCAGAGGGAAGAGATTTGCAGGGGCAAGACTGGGGAAAAGGGAGCTCAGCTTCAAAGTCCTCTCCAGGCACAAAGCTCTACCCAAATCACCGAGGAACCCGAAGTTTCCCTGACCCCCATTTTTTTTTTCATTATTCCACCGGCGAACGCAGTGAACTCAATCTCCAGCCCTGGTGGGTCTGTGGGGTGGTGGGGGGGGGGGTGAGGTGTTAGGTTTTCCACTTCCCAGCCGCTAATCCCATCCTGGGCCCGATGACCCACCCTCCGCTCAGGGCCCAGCGAGAGATAATCCCTCATTAGCATAACAAAAGACACCCCCTTCTCTCACCCCTCACGCAATTCCCAGGGATTTCAACTTCTGGGCCAGAAAGGACACCCAGAACCAAACAGGGATTTCTTTTAATAAAGGGCAGCAGGTTCTTGAAACAGAGCTACGTTTTCAGCCCAGAAGCTCGTTATAGTCACTTTGACCTTTGCTTTGACAGAATGTCCGCGTTCTCGGTCCTTCACCCTCCCGCGCCGAGCTCTTGCATCTGTCGGCAGCTGTTCTAATCAGGGGTCACCCGGAGAAAAACAGACACTATTCCCTGAATCTCAGGGGTTCACACTCAGCCGGTGGTTAAAACGGGTATTTACAAGCCCCCAAATGCGAGTGTTGGAATCCTAAACCCGTTCCCCGGGCAGGAGGTGGGCCTTCGGCAGGTGGCTGGATGAGGAGGCGGCGCCTGGTGGGTGGGATTAGACCCTCGGAGGAGAGCCGGGGAGCGGCCCCGCCCCGCCCCCAGAGTGAAGACCCCCCCAAGCGGGGGCGGCCCTCTGAGGCCACGCCCCTCGGCGTGGGCGCCGCCCTCTCGGGGGCTATAAAAGGCAGCGCCAGCCGGCCTCTCCTCACTCGGAACCTGGGCCTGTCCCGGCCGCACCTCTGCTGGGGAGGTCGGGATGGAACCCGGAGCTGAACAAGTAGGACCCCCCGACCCCCCTAGCCCATGCTCACCGGACATGCCCCCCGCCCAGCAGAACGCCCTTGAGGAGCGGAGCCCAGAGGTGGAGGCGACAGCTTTGGAAGAAGGTGAGAGACGAGTGGCAGGCTCAGAGCGGGCACCACCCTGGCCGAGCTCGGCGCCGGGGCTGTCCTTTTGGGTTTTATTTTCAGGTTTGAGAAGGAAATGTGACCCAGCGCTTGGCCCGGGCGGGGAGGCTGGGGTGCCGGCCTAGGGAGGGAGAAACGTGGCGATGATCCCCTGGAACCACGGTGTTCGCCTCACACCTGACGCTCCTGAGAGCCCCTCCCTTTTGACCAGCCCCGTCTGGTTTGCTGCCCCTGCAGGTCCCCTAAACTCCCTCTTTTTTCTCCAGGGTCAGCCAAGACTTGTGAACAGAATTCCAAGGAAACTGAACTCAAAGATAGAAACGGCTCGGTGGAACGCTCAGGTGAGACTTCGTTCTCCTGGGAAAGTTGCCCGGGACATGGGTGACTCAGTCTCTAGGGCACAGGGATCTGTGTGCCGGGGCCTTCCAGATCCTGGCCCCCAGGACTGCTGGGAACCCAGTGGGTCGCGACCCCAGCTCTGTCTGTGTTGAGAGGGGAGGGTGGGGGGACACAGCGGGATTTCCTGGTGCCCCATGGTCGGAAGTCTCTACAACTCTCCCTTCCTTCACAGAATCTGAAGGCAACTCCGAGGCTCGCAGCTCCAGGAAGCGGCAAGTCAGCCCCAGGGACAGCTCCCTGGATGGTGCAGGTAGGGTTTGCATTCCTCTGGTCAGACAGCACAGCAGGACAGTATTTGGTGCCGGGGGAGGGGGTGGTGTCACCAAGGGTGGTGTTGGCTGCTGAAGCCAGTGTGAGCTACAGGGATCCAGGCTGCCAGGACCCAGGGTGCACGCAGTGGGGCCTCCTGAGGAGCAGGGCAGGGAAGGAGGTGGGTCAGGTTACAAGCTCAGGAAGGGGTCCAGGGCTGCAGTGACCTGGCAGGTGTCTCACTCACGTGCTTCCTCAACAGGGCCCTCCTCAAAGGATGAGCGCACTGAGGCGCCACATGGGGAGGAAGGAAAGGTCCCCGAAGCTGGTAACAGCAGGGACAGCAGCGACAGCGAGGGGACCCGGGATTCCCACCGCAGGAGACCCCAGAGGAGGCGGCATGCTGGGCGCAGCAAGAGGCCCAGGTCCCCGGGGGACCAGCCACCGCCACTCCGAAAAAGCCTGGTGACCTCGCTGCGCTCGGTGTCCGAGGCCATTTACCAGGACGTGGTCCAGATGCAGAGGCAGCAGGTCCAGGCCCCGCTGGCCTGGGAGCACCTGGCAGTGCTGGCCCAGCTGCGGGCACCCCTGAACGCCCTGGTGCACAGCGTCTATGCCATGGCCTCCCAGGCAGCCTATGCCATCCCTGCGGAGGGCTGGCTTGCCCCGTCACCTCAACCTGGCACCCTGGGCCAGCGGAGGATGGAGGATAAGGCCAAGGTGTCCCCCGGAAGGGAGAGGAGTCCACCTCCTCCCCAGGACAGGAGAAGCTGAAGCTGTCAGTGGAGAATACTGAGCACCCGCTGAAGGGACCGGACCCCATTCTGCACAGGACTGGGCTCTGCCAGCGAGAACAAAGCCTGGCTGCTCCCCACATTCCTCTAGATGACCTGCAGCAGCACCAATTTGCGGCAAGGGTGAACCAGAGAACTGGGGGAGGGGTCACAAGAAAGCAAGCGGACACACAGGCGCAGGATGATGGGGAACCCAGGCTTTCCTTGACGACCAGGAGCATGAAATGTCAATCTCTTATGAGACTGTGTTGAACGCTGGACGCAGGGCAGCGTGACTTCATCATGAGGCAAATACGGGGTGTCCTTCATGTCTATATATTCTGCAGAACAGCAGAGCAGGCACATTGGGATGTTCCCTCTAGTCTGTGCAGGCTGCACATCTCCCCTGTGCTCCCAGCCCATGGAGGAACCAGATCCACACACTTGTAGCCTCCTGTATTGCGAAACGTGTGTTTTTTTCAGTTTGACATCCTGCTGAAATGACCATTCTGGTTGTTTGCTCTTATTTTATAGAAACCCTGTGTCAAGATACATGAAGTGCTTGTTGACAGTCTATATTTATTCATTAGCTGACTTAGATTTTATGCCTGTTTTTAAATTTTCTACTGTATTAAGTGTAATTATGAATTTCAGCTAATTCCAGTTTACTAGCAGATACCAAGTCTAATAGGATAATTTCATTTGTGTGCACACTGCAATATTTGACCTTTTATGGTTTTCCCCAGGTCATTTTACCGGGGACATGAACTGTTAACACATAAATATGTAATTTATATTTGACAAAAATTAAAGGTAAAGCTTTCGGATATTGTGTTATCCTCTTATTTCAACATCAGTAGTGATGAGATAAACACTACCACGTTTACACCCTATATGTTTAGATAAACATATGTCTCGTCCTACAGAATTTGAATGCAGGGCTGGGTCAGAAGACTAAATCCTTTTCACTTTTATTTCAATCCACCTTGACTTTCCTACACCAAGCATTGTTGCATGTGGGATGGCAGATGAACATTCCACAGAGCAGGGTCAATTCAATGATGAAGCATCATAAATCACTCCACCCAGGGATGGGGCTTCAAACTACACAAAACCAGTGTCTACAAATGCACAAAGATGCAATATACAAGCTGCACTGCGGCTGGGGTACAATTCCAGTAGAATAAAAATGAAATACAACCATGAAAATAAAATACCCAGGAATGTAGAGTATATAAGAAAAACAGACTTGCTAGCATTATAAGAAGAGAGACAAATATAAAATCTTGTCTCATCTTGGGTACAACATTTGTGTCTCAAGCCATCAAATCCCTAAGCTGACTTGTTAATGTGATTTGTTAATGTGACATTATCAGTTCATTATTGGAGCCTGGCATGTTAGGGCCGAATAAAAAACCAAAATCTATAAATGAAAATATAAAAATATACTCCGGTATCAAACCATCAAGTATCCTTAAGCTAATTTCACATTCAGTTTGCTCTTGCTACAGGTACTGTTGGCTCACAATTGGAGCCAGGTGAGCTACCACAAAAGATAAAATCCTATAGGTGCAAACAGGAATATAGAGAGTTAAGACAACTCTGAATTGGCGAAAGCCATTAGCCCTAAAGGTCACTGCAGGGGGAGGTGCAGCAGAGGGGACAAAACAAAACAAAAAAAAAATCAATTTCCCTTAAGTAAAATGAAAATTATTCTGAGATCTATAGTATAACATGCGTCCATAGTTATCAATACTTTGGACACTTAAAGGTCTGTTAAGAGCTCATGTTAACTGTTCCTAATGGTAGAAAGGAAGAAAATGGGGAAAGAAAACAAACCAAATAAAATGTGGGGTGGCTATCTCTAGGAGAGAAGCTTACTCATGAGAGATCAGTGAAGTTAAAAAGTCAGAACTATGTCAACGTGCATAAACTAAAAACAGCAAAACCTACTATGCAGACATTATTGTTAATACTTGATATCTGAGAAATGAAAATTCCTATCAAAGATCACATATATGGGCTTATTCTTCACATGTATAGCAAGTTAAAGGTCTAACGAAAGAAAAATTGATGCGCCAAAATAATGTTAAAATAGGGGTGAAGCCCTCTGTAAGGGCTGGTCCTCAGGCTCCTGACTGTACACACTCCTCGGTCATCGTCTCCAAAGGAGGCCCTGGGAATTGGCCAGAGGTGTGACCGGGTGAGAAGATTTCCCAGAGACAGAGTGGGGAGCAGAACAGGCAGATCCGCTGAAATACACTGCTGAGGGGAGCGGCAGGGAGACAGGAGAGGTCTGCTGCGCCATGTGGGTCAGCTCCCCGGCCTGGGATACCTTGATAGAGCTGGGACTTTAACCCGGGAGCCACCAGGGAGGCACTGCCCCTCAGGGACTTTTAACGCAGGCTTGCTTTGTGTGTTCACAGAATGTCCAACGGTGAATGAATACTGCCTCCTCTCCTGGAGTATCTTCAGGGACCTGTGGATTGGCCCCAGGAGCTGCGAGATGATACAGATTATAATAAAGGCTCCCCCGGGCCTCCTAACAGCCTGGTAAATATCACTTTCCCCTGTTATGTGACTGACAAATGAACAGCAAAACACCAAAGAAATTTGAAGGGGGATTATAAACAGCCAGAACGGGCTGGTTTGGGGGCTCTGGGGTGCCCCTGCCCCTGTCTTGTAACAGGAACCAATTTTAAGGAAGGAAAAATAATCCATGCAGACAAACAGCCGTTTTTGTTCCTGAAACGGGGCCTCAGATCCACAGAGCCTCAGACCCACCCGCAGCCAGGCACCGGCCCAGGCACACAGCCCAGGGCACACAGCGCAGAGAGGCGCAAAGTTACTATAAAGTCGCGGTTGGGTTTTGCATCTCTTCTCACACCCTAGTTTTCACAATCTACACGGACGTTCTTCTTTCATGTAAACAAAGAGAAACTTGACAGGACCAGGGGCTCCGGGGAGCAGGACTCCATGGCCGCGCCCCACTCCCGGGGGGAGGGGGGGTGTCCCAACGCCCTTCCCGCCCGCGCGGCCTGAACTGGCACCTCTCTCCTCGCGACACAAACTAACAAAACACCAAGAAGCGTTTTCCACATTAACCGTTCACATTGGTGCAGAGGAAGCTAATTTGCTGTTTCCTGATGTAGGGACCGGGCCTTGCTACAGAGGACACCACCTAGTCCGAGAGCGAGTCGGGGAGCTGCGAGGGTCCACAGGCCCGAAAACCTCCAGTCAGACGACGCCAACGCACGGGCCGCGGCCCCCACAAGCCCCGCTCCTGGGTCGGCGTCCTCGTCCCGCCCCTCACAAGCCCCGCCCCCGCGTCAGTGTCCTCTCTCCTCACAAGCCCCGCCCCCGCGTCAGTGTCTTCGTCTCGCTCCTCACAAGCCCCGCCCCCGCGTCAGTGTCCCACTCCCGCCCCGCGTCAATGTCCTCGTCCCGCCCCCTCACAAGCCCCGCCCCGCGACAATGTACCACGCCCCCTCCCAAGCTCCGCCCCCGCGCCCGCCCCGCGTCAGCCCCGCGCTGTCCACGTCCCGGTCGCCTGCGGCCCCGGCCCGGCCCCGCATAAATGTCCTACTCCCGCCCCCTCCCCCGAGTCAATGGCCGCGTCCGCCCCTTCCAAGCTCCGCCCCCGCATCAAAGCCCGTTTTTCGCCCTCAGGAGCCTAGCCCGGGCCGACCTGCGTCCCTCTCCTCGCAGCGCCCCCAGGGCCCCGCCCCCCAGTGGCCGAGTCCCCGCACAAGCCCCGCCCGCAGGCCGGCCGCGCCGACGCGCATGCGCACGCGCAGGTCCCTGCAGAGGCGACGGCGGCGGGAGCGGGGTCGCCGCGGCGCGGGCGCGTCCCGGTCCTTCTGTGCAGCCGGCCCGCTCGCGGCCTCCAGGCCCCACCTCCACGCCCAGCGCGCGGGGCCGCCCCGTAAGTTAAGCTCCGTGTCGCCGCCCGCCCCGCCGGCGGCGAGCTGGTCTTCGCGCGGCGCTGGCCGCCATGGCGCCCCCGCGTCCCCCTGCGGTGGGCGCCGCCCGGCCGGCGCGGGGACGCCCCTGCCCGTTGTTCCCCCCGGAGACGCCCTGCCGGTCGCCGCGCCCCCGGACTCTGCCCCTGCACCGGGCCGGCTCGGGCCTCGCCCAGCTGGAGCGACGGAGAAGGGGCGAGGGGTGGGGGGGGGGCGCGCGGGCCCGGCCGGAGGGGAGCGGAGGGTCTGGGGGGCGGGGGGAGCCCGGCGGGCATTGCCGCAGCGGAGCCCCGGAGCTGCCGCCTCCACCGCGGCCTAGTCAGCACCTTTGCTTAGCGGGCGCCGTGTCTGCGCTTCCCCGAGCAGTGCCGTGGACTCTGTCCGGGGAGAGGAGCGGAAGGCAGGGAAACAAAATGACGGGGAAAACGGAGGGGCGGGCAAGAAATGGACTTGGTTGACTTTCAAAACTCACTTATAGGATCTGATTGATCAATGAATTCATGAGTCCGGCATCATCCCTACTGGCAAGTAAAAAAGGCTCTTTCGGGGGGTTGAACAAAATGGAAGGATTTCATAGACAAAAGGGGGGTGGGGTGGGGTGAGGTAGGTCGAGAAAGGAACATATGACCAAAAGAGAGGATTGCTTTAGGCAAGGTCACCTACCTCTGGGGTGTGAAAATTTGACATTGTGGAGCCATTTTGAAAATGGAGCCAGGCAGCCTTTGCAGAGAAACCGCATTACCTGTCTTGTTTGAACTAAGATCTTTGGACTGGGCCAGAAAACAACTGTTTCAAGAAACTTCTAAACAGCTGTTGAAATCCACTGGTTCTTTTTTTTTTTTTTTTTTTTTTTTTATAGAGGCATGTTTTTATTTATTATATTTATTTGTTTTGTTTATACATGCACTGGGTACAGTCAGAAGCGCGGGAGGGTGAGAGAATTCACCAGAGCCAGAGCGGGGAGCAGAGCAGGCAGAAGGGCTGAAGTACACTGCTGAGGGGAGCAGCGGGCCGCAGGAGAGGTCTGCGCGCCATGTGGGACCCTCCTCTGGTGGCCGGGGAGCAGCCGGGGATCGAACCGGCGCCGCAGAGGCCGCGGGCAGCTTCGCAACCCAGCGCTCAACCGCTGCGCCACCGGGGAGGCCCTGAAATCCACTGGTTCTTGAGGACTAATGATTGTGGCCTTTTTGTCAGAGGAGGAATCAGTAACCAACTAGGTATGGCCAAAAATAGTTGAGCCTTATCTAGTCTTAATCAGTTCTATTTTCTAACCACTTCTTTCTCGTTTCCTCCCATGAAAAATCCTAACCCCCCCACCCGCGCCCCACTTTGGGGCACTTTGGATTTTCTACCAGAATCTATGTCCTCAAATTGCACATCTTTGATCCTAAGTAAATGTGCTTGTATTTTTAACTGCCTCCTGAATTTTTAGGCTGACATGGGGAAGTGCAGGGCTTTATCTTGTAGATTATCTCATAGTGCAGATCAGAGGCTGTTTGAGGGAGAGGCTGAAGACACAATTGTAAGTCTTGGTTGACTGGGGTTGGACTTGGCACAAGTGATTCAGTTTGAGGTCTATCACTCCACTACTGCTCCTGCACCCTTCTGTCTTCTGTTTCTGGCAAAACTCCGTGAAGTTGCCTTCCACTTACTAGATGTGATGCTGCCAGTCAAAAGCCTGTCAACTCCTGAAATTTACTTGGTTGGATTCTGGTTTAACAGGACAAGAAGACAGTAGAGAAACAGGACAGAGAAAGACAAACGGAGAATAAACCCATTGGTGGACCAGGCAGAGGTCCTGGGTGAGTATTGAGTTGACTGGATATGGTTTGTTGTACTGTGAAGCACTAATTTGGGGCCTGTAATCTAATTAATTAAAAACTTGGTTTATAAATGGTAAAACAAGGGATTGAGACGTCAGTATTTTCTAATTATTGCATGAGAAGATACTTCCATTTGCAACCCCTATCATCAAGAGGGCAGAAACAGGTTACTCAATACCAGGTCATCCTCTTCCCTTTCAAGAAATGGGGGACAATCTTCTGACAAAAATGGGGCTTTTGAAAATGAACAGAGGGCCTCCCCGGTGGTGCAGCGGTTGAGCGCTGGGTTGCGAAGCTGCTAGCAGCCTCTGTAGTGCTGGTTCGATCCCGGCCGCTGGTGAGGGTCCCACATGGCGTGCAGACCTCTCCTGCCGCACTTGCTGCTCCCCTCAGCAGTGTATTTCGTCAGTCTGCCTGTTCTGCTCACTGCTTTGGCTCTGGTGAATTCTCTCAGCCTCCTGCGCTTCTGACTGTACCCAGTGCTTGTATAAATAAATAAATAAATCTTTAAAAAAAAAAATGAACAGAGTCCAACATTCACAACTTGTCTAAACAGTTGACTATTCAGCAGCTTGTCTTCCTTTTAGTGGCTTGTTAAGTTTGGTGCGCTTAACTGAAGTCTCCGGAAAGGGGGTTGTCCCTCAAGTCCCTGTTGTCATTCCTGGCGCAGCCAGGGCGGGCTAGATTGCTGTGGGATTTTGGCCCCTCAGCTGTTGCTAAAGAGACTGCACAGCTCTGCTCTCCACAGGCAGCCCACTTCCATGGTTTCCAGGACCACCTTACTTTTTCTCATTTTGTTTTATTTTTTTCTGGAAGAGGAGTTAAATACGTGGGTTAATTAAACCTATGAAAGAGAAGCTTCTCTTGCTCAGGACTGTGAAAAGTAATCTGGAATCGGACAAACCTTTTCTGCTCAAACTTGTCCAGGCCAAAATTTCAGAATCCACTTACACCTAGTTTCTGCTCACTCATCTTTTGCTGCTTCGAGGGTTTCTTGGTAATATCTACCCCCCACCCCACCGTGCCCACTTGTGACACAGGTACTAGAGAGTAGCCCAAGAGGTCTGAGACTAAGCAGATGGGATCCCTGAAATGATATTAAAAATTGGGCATATGTTTGTTGGGCAGTTTTCTGCGAGAGACTGCCCAGTTATGACAAGAATTTGGAATGTGTCCCAGTCCTCCCGAAATAATGAAAACTGGTGAGAGACACGGACATGCCACTTCCAGCTGCGCTCTCTGTATCCTGGGTGAACTTCAGGTTTAGTTGAGTCAGCTCCTGGCATTTGATCCTCTCATGGCTCCCACCACACCCTGGGCCCAAAGCCAAAAGCAGAGGAGCCACAGTAGGGAGCACTGCAGCCAGGGTGGCCCTTCCTAGTTGGTCGAAACTGAAGAGAGGACAGGCTACCAGACCAATCACTGGCTGCTGAGGGAGGAGCCAGGAGCTGGATGAGGCACTTTCCTTGGCTGTGTGCCAGGGGGCAGGGCGGGCTCCCTGAAGGAGCAGCAGCACTCACTGGGTCTCCACATTCAGTGGGTGTCCCTGCGCCCCTCCTGTTGTGGTGAAAGCAGAGGTCTGTCTTCCTGTATCCTAGCGCTCCCTTCTGTGCACTTGAGGTGGGGGGTGGGGGGCGGGGGGGGGTGTTCTCAGCATTAAAATGAGCGTTTCTGTCACACAGAATAATCTCACCTAAGAAGCCCAGAGGAAGAGGAAGGAAAGAAGAATGGCTCTTTCCCAGGTAAAATAATTCTTATTCTTAGTTGCTCTGTTCTCCTAAAACAATGTCCTGAACTGGACTTGCTACCCGTCTGTCTCTGAAGGGCCCTGCCTGAAGTGTCCATTCACAAACAGGCCTCCCCCGGGCTCCTCTCATCTGTATTCAGATTGCTCTCACTGCGACCAGTGACATGCAGCCCAGGAAGAAGCTCCTCTGAGGGAATTGTCCTGGGAGGGGATCGTCCTCGGGATGGACGAGTGGTCGGTGTGGCGCTGTGGTGTCAGAGACTGGTGGGCAGGCCAGACACAGCCCCGGGTGGGCCCCATGGCAGCCGGGAATAGAGTGTGTGAGATGTGCTGATGTGCCCGAGTTGCCCCATCACTCTGGAAAGAAAACTGTCAGAGGACACTTGCTTTGTATGATTTTATAAACACATCTGAAGTTAAAATAAGTGAGTCACTATTTCTGACTCCAAAATATGAACATTGACACAGATGGGAAGTTTAGAAACAAAACAAGGAATAAAGAGGGAATTTTATTTTGCCATTTGTTTTTTTGAGATACAGATCCGACCCAACTGTCTAACAGCAAGGGTGCTTTAAATTCACTGCACATCCCTCTCAGAGTACATACCGGTGTGTTCTGTTAGGGACTGGTGCGCAGCAGGAATGTTGGAAAAAGATGGTTACAATTTTGGCAAATTATAGGAGAATTTTCTGTTGTCAGACTAGAGTCAAATTCTGACTCTACTAGTTAAGTATTTTTTCTATTAAGCATCTCCTGTGTATATTTTTGAGGTCAACTCCACACAAGTGATGCAGTGTATAGAGTGAGAAGTAAAATACTCCCTTCCCTGTCGTGTCTTCCACTATCATACACTTTCTATCAGGAGAAAAATACAGACCAGAAAATGAAATAAAAGGTATCAAAACTGGAAAAGAAGTCAGACTGTCTCTAGTCTTGAACTAATATTTAGAAATACCTAACCAATACTGTAAAAAAAAAACTTAGTAATAATAAATCTACCAGTTATAGTATATAATAGAAACACTCAAAAATCAGTTGTATTCAGATGCACTAGCAATGAATACATTGAAATTAAATTTAAGCGAACACTTATACAGCATTAAAAAAAATAAATTTAGGGCCTCCCCAGTATCACAGCAGGTTTAGCGCCACGCTGTGAAGCTGTTAGCAGCCTCTACAGCGTGAGTTTGATTCCCAGTCTGCCAGGGAGAAACCCACATGACGCAGCAGACCTCTCCTGCCTCGCCCACTGCTCCCCTCAGCAGTGTCTTCAGTCCGTCTGCCTGTTCTGCCTCTAGTGAATTCTCTCACCCTCCTGTGCCTCTCCTTGTACCCCAGTTCTTATATAAATAAATCTTTAAAAAAAAAACTTACTAAACTTCTTTAAAAAAAAAAATAAATTTAACCAAGGAAATGACAGATTTACACATTTAAAACTACAAAATATAACTGGGAAAAAAACAAAGAAAACCAAGTAAATGTCAAGATAGCCCAAGTGTGTAGGTCAGATACATACCCCAACAGCAAAATCTCAACATTCCTTTTTGGGAAAAGCTGATTGTAAAGATCAAGGAAACAAGTAGGAAAACTGATACTAAAATTAACAGCAAACTGGTAATGAGCCCAAATACTCAAAGGAAACATAAGAACAAACTTGGAGAGCTTAAAGTTCCCAATATCAAACCTGGAGTCATCAAAACTGTAGTTCTAACTCTGGGATAGGAAGAGATTAACACAGAGCTAGCACACATACACACCCATTCATTTACAGTCCATTCCTGTTCACCAGGGGCTCAAAACACTGAAATGAACACTGAAATGGCACTGTGACAACTGGAAATCCACGTGAAGGAAAATGAATTTGAACCTCTCTACTTGTCATCCTATAAATAAATTCAAAATGAATCAAAGACTAACTATGGGGCCTCCCTGGTGGCCTAGGGGTTTAGTCTCAGCGCTGTCACTGCTGAGGCCTGAATTTGATCCCCGGCCAGGAAGCTGACCCAGAGGACGCAGCAGACTTCTCATGTCTCATCTGCTGCTCCCCTCAGCAGTGGATTTCAGTAGATCCACCTGTTCTACTCCCCACTTTGACTTTGGTAAATCCTCTGGGAAATCACCCTGCACCTCTAGCCTACATCCCAGCTCTTGTATGTATAAATAAATAAAAAATAAAAGGCTAAATATGTAACACTCCTAGATAAAAATAGGGTACATATTTATCCCCTTGGGTTTGGCAGTGGACTTTTAGATATGACAGAATACAAAATAAATTGGTGTTCATCAAGATAAATGTTTGTGCACTGTAGGACACTCTTTTCCATAAGTGTGAGTCAGTATTTGTAAATCACACATCTGGTAAGGGTGTGGTATCTAGAATATATGAAGTTCTACAACTCAACCAAAACCAAAGATTCCAATGAAAAAGTCATCAAAGAACTCTGATGGACATTTCTCCAGAGAATAGAACAAACAGCAACGAGCACATAAGAAGATGTTCAGTGAAATTACTCATTAGTTAAAATGCAAAAGCAAAATTTTAACTAGATACCATTTCCCATCCAGTAGGATGACTAATAAAGTAAGAAACAGGGCCTCTCCAGGGGCACAGCAAGTTGAGCGCCACACTATGAAGCTGTCCCGCAGCCTCTGCAGCGTGGGTTCGATCCCGGTCGGCCAGGGAGATTCCCATATGGCTCAGCAGACCGCTCCTGTCGTGCCCACTGCTCCCCTCAGCAGTGTCATTGGTCCATCTGCCTGTTCTGCTCCCTGCTCTATCTCTGGTGAATTCTCTCAGTCTCCCGTGCCTCTGACTATACCCCAGTTCTTGCATAAATAAATAAATCTTTAAAAAAAGTTTAAAAAAGTAAAAAAAAAAAAAGTAAAGTAAGAAACAAGCAACACTGGTAGACACCAAGAAATCAGAATCCTGTTACGCCGCTGATATGGCCACTGGGAAAGTGGCAAATCCTTAAAGAATTAAAGCACATGACTCAGTCATTTCACTCCTAGGTATACAGTGAAAAGTCCTGAAAACAGGTATTCAGAAACACACTTCCACCCAAACACAGCAGCACGACTGACATCAGACAAAACAGCTCCAACACCCAGTAAGAGATGAGTGAATCAGTACAATGATACAGTCACACAGGGGGATGTTATTCTGCTGTAAGAAAGGAATTTATCACTCATAGCAGGAATCTAGAAAAGCTAAATAAGAGACCAGGAAAAAGAATAACTGTAAGAAAGAAAAAATCAAAATCAACAACTATGAACCAGAGACACACTATGGGGGCGGGGGGAAGGAGGGATTGGGGTCAAAATAAGGGAGTCGCAATTGTATGGGGAATATAAAAATAAAATTAAAAATATAAATTAAACATTGTTTGGTCTGTTTAGAAACTCAGTTAATTAAATGCTTCCACAGTTCAAACATCAAAAAAAAAAAAAAAAAAAAAAAGGGCCTCCCCGGTGGCGCAGCGGTTGAGCGCTGGGTTGCGAAGCTGCCCGCAGTCTACGCGGCGCCAGTTCCATCCCCGGTTGCTCCCCGGCCACCAGAGGAGGGTCCCACATGGCGCGCAGACCTCTCCTGCCGCCCGCTGCTCCCCTCAGCAGTGTACTTCGGTCCTTCTGCCTGCTCTGCTCCCTGCTCTGGCTCTGGTGAATTCTCTCACCCTCCCGCGCTTCTGACTGTACCCAGTGCTTGTATGTATAAACAAACAAACAAATAAATAAATAAATCTTTAAAAAAAAAAAAAAAACGAAAGGATTTTAGTTGCTACAAACTGCATCATGGACAATCCACATTGTGAGGGGAAACCCAGACATAAAAGATCATACCTAACATGGCACTATCCAAAAGAGGGGAAATGGGAAGCCACTGCTTCCTGGATAAAGGAGTATCTTTGTGGTTAAAATTGTTTTTGAACTCAATGGAAGTGATGTCCTTTCAACTCTGAATGTAAACGCCAGTACCGGAAAATGGCTGACTTCCCATGCGGTGAATGACTTCACATGCGGTGAATTTTGCTTTAGTTTTACGAAATTAGAGAACGCTTGTTCAAAATTATCTTACCTTGGTCAGAATACTCCAGCAAAGTTAATTCTCACACAGCCGAAGCAGTTTTTATTTTGTGTTCAAAAAACTCTCCCCGTCCACGTGGTGAAATCTGCTTTCCTTTCAGGGACAGCTGACATTGGAGGACGTGGCCATCGACTTCTCCGAGGAGGAGTGGGCGTGCCTGGGGCCTGCTCAGCGGGCGCTCTACAGGGACGTGATGCTGGAGACCTGCAGGAGCCTGCTGGCCCTGGGTGAGGGTTGGTCATGTTGTATCTTTGCAAGTCTCTTGTGAGCCTCTGTTGTTTTACCCTTGTGCTCCTGATTCAGTAGTTCCGGAAGGGAAACTGGGTATCTGCTCCCTTAAAGTAATACCATTCATAAAGAGGCCATCAGTGGACTGATTTTTGAAATACTTTTCTAGACTCATTCTGTCCCCCTTTAGCTCAGTGAATGTCTGGGAGTTTATTCTGGAAAAGTATGGCCTATTCCATTTTTGGTTGTAAGTTGAAATCTCTCTTGAGCAGAATATTTCCACTTTGGGGCGGGGCGAAGAACCCTGAACCATGGAAATTGAAGTGCAAATCGGGGGAAATGCAGGTACATAGCATGTGTCAAGCCAAGTCCAGAGTGAGCCGCTCCATGAAATACTGATTGGGAAACACCTCAAAGGGAGAGCTCTGTGGGGAAATACATGTGTATTTCTCATCAGCTCTAGTGGGAATTCATATTCCTTCTATTTCAAATATGTAAATATCTACACTTGTCCTCCACCCTGTGCCCCAGCTCATTCAGAGCCCAGGGAGACTTCACCATGCCATACAACACCCTGCCTCGACTCTGACCAGTTTGCTGCTGGACTTGAGAGACAAGATGATGGCTTTTAAGGAGTCCTCTTTCACCCACTCTCACTCCACAGAACTAAATCCTGTGCAGATATCACCCCAGGACCTATTCGGTTTCCATTCCCATTTTATGTCCTTGGGAGAACGTCTCGGGAATGGAAAAACAAAATGGCTGCTTTCCCATTGCAGGTGGGGTTCCATGAAACTTCATGGGAACGTTAGGCCTTTTTTCCCCTGTTCAGGTCCCTAAGCCCTATCTCTGGGGTTTTTTTTTGTTGTTGTTTTGTTACATCCGTCAAAGAGGAATGAAGTGGAAGTTTTGAGGTTGTTACCCAGTAGTGATATAAAGACCTGACACGGCGACCCATACTTGCTCCCCATGGCCACATGGAAGCATGATCTCATTTCAGGCGCTCCCCAGAGTGTCAGTCTGCGTGGGTTGACCTCTCTGTCCCTTGGCAAGAATGCTATTAAATTGAACTCTTATTCCCTGTCATGTATTGTCTCCCTCTTCTAGCTCTTCTGATTTCTTATGCTTAGAGTTTGCCTACAAAAGCTTGTTTTTAAAATACAGATTCAAAGGGTCTGAAGTGTGAGCCTCTTTATCTGCTGTATAGTTAAAATATAGCCTTTAGTTCTGTTTATCTGAACTTGAGGTTTCAAAATCCAGTGATTCTCAACATAGTTTTCCTTTTTCCTATTGTATTCTTTCTGAACTATAAATTTTCCTCTACTTCTTAAAGAATAATTCTTTAGAATTCCAGAGACCATTATTTTCTGTAACTGGTGAAAACTTACCTGCTACATTTATCATGCGTTGCTGAAGTGATTTTATTATTATATACAGATTTTTTAAGTAACTTTTTTCACGCATCATAGCCTCACACATTACTAAAAAGACTCAGAATTAGGGGAGGCAGTCTGAAATTTCAATTATGATGTCATGTCTGCAATTATACATATTCTAAACTATGAAGTATCATTGACTAACCCACTTATATAGACCAAAAAATGTGTAATATGTAGTGCACACTATGGAAATTTTACTACTTAAGAAAATATTATATACACAAAAATTATTTATCACTATAATGTTTGAAGATGATGCTTCAGTAAATTCATTATGATGTGCATATAAGTATTTTTTATGTACTTCATATTTCATTATAAGCCACCTTCTGATTCTATTTAACAGGAAGCCTTTCTGCTGGAGCTTTAATCAAGGAACTATCACAGGACATTATCAAAGGAAAATTACATCATCTGTTGATGTTGGAAAATAAAAGCCATGGCCTCAAGGATTTGGACCTCATGGAAATCTGGGAAAATATGGATGCCTCTGAGAGTGCATGGGAATATAATGGAAGAGATGATAAAACAGTGCCTTTGACCCCTAACAGTTGCCCCCATAGGGAAGAACAGCATGACAAATCATCAGCTGATGTTGCTCAAAACCAGAGTGTTCCTGCTGGAGACAGTACAGACCAATGTTTTGAGGACAAGCCACTTGTAAGGAATTTATTAAAAGTGAACAATAGTGTAAATGATACTCGAAACAAGTATATAAAATGTTTGGAAACGAGAATTGGATCAAGTTTGCAGGCACACCTGACTGAACTGCCGAGCTGTCCGAGTAAGGAGAAAATTTCTGAAAGCAGCAAAGCTGAGAAGCCTAAGAGCAATGGCCCCTCAGTTCTGTCCCCTCAAAGGATTCCTCCAAGTGTCAAAAACATTTGTAATAAATACAAGAAGATGTTAAAATATCCTTTCTTACCTGCAAAATACAGGCGAACACATGCTAGAGAAAAATGTTACAAGTGTAATGACTGTGGAAAGACTTTCAGCAAAAGCTCCAACCTCACAAATCATAAGAGGATCCATTCTGGACAGAGGCCTTACAAATGTAAGGAGTGTGGCAAAGCCTTTATCCAAGGCTCACACCTTACGAGACATCAAAGTGTCCACACAGGAGAAAAACCGTACAAATGTAACATCTGTGCCAAAGTCTACAGTCGAAATTCACACCTTAGAAGGCATCAGCAAATGCATGGGACGGAGAAACCTTACAAATGCGGGGAGTGTGGCAAAGCTTTTACCCAGTCTTCGAATTTTACTCGCCATCAGAGAATCCACACTGGTGAGAATCTTAACAAGTGTGAGGAATGCGGCAAAGCCTTTGCTATCCATTCAAACCTCGTGAAGCACATGAAAGTCCACTCTGGAGAGAAACCTTACCTGTGCTTAGAGTGTGGCAAAGCTTTCAAGCACAAGTCAGACCTCACGAGTCATCAGACATTACGTCCTGGAGAGAAGCCACACAAATGTAGCGTGTGTGGTAAGGCTTTTCTCCAGTGTGCACGACTGACAGAGCATCACAGGATTCACACGGGAGAAAAACCCTTCAAATGTAGTAAGTGTGGTGACGCTTTCATCATGCGATCGCAACTTTGGGGGCATGAGAGAACGCATGCTGCGAAGCCTTACAAGTGCAGTGAGGCCGGCTGTGGCCAAAGCTTCCTGCATCAGTCACATCTCGCGCAACACAAGATGAGCCACACAGGGCAAAAGCCTCACAAACCCGACGAGAGCAACAAGGACTCAAGTCACCGCTCAAACCTTACTAGACACCAGAATGCCCAAGCTGGAGAGAAAGCGTACAAATGCCCTGTGTGCGGCAAAGTCTGTAGTCGGAAGTCACACCTTGTACGACATCAGAGAAGCCACTCAGGTGGGAAATCTCACAAAGGTAGTAAGTTGGGTAAAGCTCTTCCCCAAAATCCGAGCCTTTGGAGTCAGGAGAAGACCCATGCTGGAGACAAGCCTTACAAATGCAATGAATGTGGCAAGACCTTTGCGAAACGCTCAACCCTCACTACCCACGTAAGAGTCCACACTGGAGAGAAACCCTACATATGTATCGAGTGTGGCAAGGGCTTCAAACAGAGGTCGCACCTCACTAACCACGAAAGCACACATTCTGAGGAGAAGCCGCACAAATGCAACGTGTGTGGCAAGGCTTTCATCCAGAGTTCAAGGCTGATGGAGCATCACCGAATTCACACGGGAGAGAAACCTTACAAGTGCAGTCGATGTGATAAGGCTTTTATCAAACGCTCACAACTCTGTAGCCACGAGAGAACACACACCGGAGAGAAGCCTTACAAATGTAAGGAGTGTGGCAAAGCCTTCAGTCACGACTCCAACCTTATCCGACACCACAGAATCCACACGGGAGAGAAGCCGTACAAATGTAATGTGTGCGGAAAAGTCTGTAGTCGAAATTCTCACCTCGTGAGTCACCAGAAGATACACGCTGGAGGGAAACCTTACAAATGTGTTGAATGTGGCAAAGGCTTTACAGATCAGTCAGCCCTCATGGCTCATAAGAACATCCACACTGGAGAGAAACCGTACAAATGCGATGAGTGTGGCAAAGCTTTCGCTCAATTCAGAAATGTTACAAAGCATCAGAAAATACATAATAAAAAGAAACGTTAAAATACATGGCCTTGTTTTCCTGCAAAATGGAAACTTTGGGCATCAACAGAATTCATGGCAGGGAGAAACTTCAAACAGAATGATTGAGACAACACTTACGTATTCAGGCTCAAGCTGAACGTCCCCGGCAGAGAGAAGCCCCACAAGACCATGCACGTGGTAAGGCTTATCCCCAGGGCGCCACCTCACTAGAAATCAGCATATACATATTTGAGAGAAACCACACAGGCATAATGAATGGCAAGGCTTATGCCAAATTTACACATTGTGGAATGTAACAAAATTCACCCTGGAGAGAAGCTTCACATATACAATGAAGATGATCTGCCTTTGCACAACTGTACAACTTTCAGTCACTGAAAAATTCACGTAAAATGGGAAGCGGACAAATGTGTCAAGACCTTTAGGGAGTGAACTCAGGATACGCTTAATTGATTCTGGACAGAAGCATAATGAAAGTGACTTTAATTCTGTCAGTAGACAACACGAGAAAATTCATATTAAGGGAAACTAAATCTAGTACTTTCGAAGATTCAACCCACCTCAGATGTTAAATTCCACAAAGCAGCATTAAAACTAGTGAAAACACATTAGGTAACATCGCTAATGGAACAAGGACATCTGTAGAAAGGTCTAATATTCAGTTTGTTTTCACTCAGTTACTTGAGTCTTCTTGAAAATGCTGTACTGACAACTCACAGCTTGAAGTTTTAAATCTGATGTTATACTCACTGCATGCTTCCCATATGCCACTGGTGGGAAGGGACTGGTAAGAGGAAAGGACCTAACTCAGTAATGGGGTTACTCACACCCATGTAACCTCAAGAATAGAACACTAGCTTGTAGACAGACAATGGTCTAAATCTGAGGCCTTAGGGTGTAGCAGACAATAGATGTAAAATTATGATATAAATGAATGTTTTCTGTGGTTATGGCCCCAGCTCTAGAGTTGCAGTGTGACTGAGCACTTCTGCTGCCAGTCACAGGAAAGGATTACTCTGCCAGATGATCAGGACGTTCAGAGAAAGAGGTTTTCATGTGAGTAGACGGACTAGCTAGTGTGGATTACTAGGTATAGCATGTTTGGTAGGGGAAAAAAACAAAGAGGAATGATGATAGTATTAAAAGGTAATAGCTGCTATAGAATCACAGATTAGTGAAAAGTAGCTTTTTGGAAGCTGAATACACAGTTAATACAGGACGGTGCTTGCAAGGGATTCAATGCTGACAACTGAAATGCATTTTGACACCATTGTACTTGAATATACATGTCATGTCTAAATAAGTAAATACTTTTTGTAACTGGATGATCATGTCCCTTCTATTAATCTAAAAATATCCTACTTCATTGGGGGTACTTACTGAACAAGAGTAAATCGTATGGTTCTCTAGATTGTTCTCTATAACAATGGTATCTGTAATAATTTCCACATTAAATATGAGCAGTTTGCATCTGAAAATATGTATTTCTAACTAGCATTTGAGCTATCACTCCACAGCATATCCCAGATTATTTGTGGCTAGAATGACATTACCACAGCAGTTCAATTTCTGCCTCCCCAGTTGTGAATATATGCTACCTGCTTAGATTTATGTGAACCCTTATTTGTGGTAAAGTAAGACCTATCATTTGCACCCTTACATGAAATACACATAGAATTTTTTTTTTTTTTTTAAATGTCAGAAATGAGGGGGAGAAATTATGTGCCTGCTTTGCCCTGGGACACGATTTGAAAAGACCAGTATTCATGAGAATAAAATGATCACAATGGGAACTTGAAAATATTGCTGGTGAACTAGAATTCTCATGGATTCACCCTCCGAGATGTTGTTTTGTTAGTTTACACTCAATAGACAGGATGGAGCCCCACTCAGAGCTCCACGTGATGTCAGAGCTGATAGTGCCATTCGCTCAAGTGTTCAGAGTGTTTATTACTTTCAGGACTTTCCAAGTTGTTCCAAAAATGACTGATGTGTGACCGCCGTGTTATGGCAGAGACCAGATGGGGACAGAGTGGTGGAACTTGTCAACTGACTGGAGGAAGGGAAAGAGCATTTCGGCTTTATCATCAAGGTGCCTGTCACATGGGCAGAGCAGAACGAAGTTGTGTTGAGGCTTAAAATGTCAGTCATCACATTTGAAGATTCTTTAAAACATAATGCTTACTCTCGAAACTCCTGACTTACTGGTTGGGAAAAACTAGTTTTCATCATGCTAATAACAGCTGAAATGTCATCATGCTAATAACAGCAAAGAAATGTCCAATCTGCAGCATGAACATACATGACATATGTAACACAGCAATCAAAAGAAAGCAAGAATGTCTATATTATGTCAGATGTAATTGTTTTCAGAGGAAATAAAATTACTGAGGGAAATTACAATATGATAAATGGGTCATCTGCCAAGATGACATAGAAACCCTAAGTGGCTATGCACTAAAGAACACATGTCCACCATTTCTGAAGAAACAGTTCATAAAACTCATGGGAAAAATAGACGATTTCATAACTGCAGTTTGTACTTTAATGTATCTCGATAACTGAAAAAACACAGAAAATCAGCAGGGCATGGATAATTCAACAACACAGGGTCCGATCAACATTTTTAGAACACCGCACAAAAAATAGCAGATTACATATGCTTTTCACTGACATTAGCAAGCTAGGTCATACCCTCTGCCATATAATACCCCTCAACAAATTTAGAAGACTGGGAACAACACAGAACACGTTCTTGGCCTACAACGGACTCCAACTACAAACCAAAAGTAGCAAAAAGGGACCTCTCCAAATACTAGAAAACCAAACAGCATACCTGTTCAGGAAAAGTCGTCATCAATGTGGGTTTCATGCCAAATTGGGGTGGGGGTGGGAGGGAGTGGGAGCAGGGCAAGCATGGACAATAGGTGTTTCTGTAGTTCCTCCCTTTCACATACATCATTTTCTCTTCTTTATTTTTTGTTGAAAACATTAGTTCCTAAAGAGCCTGTAGAAATGTTCTAAAATCAGACTGTGGGGATGGTTTCACATCTCTGTAAATGTACTAAAAATTAATAAATTCTACAGTTAACAATTTTATGATATGCAAATTATATCTCAAACCTACTTACTTTTTAATTCAGTTTCATTCTAGACTCACAACAAATCTATTATTTCAACTTCATTTACAGTTTGCATAGCTTTTGGATACAATTTTACATGTCTTTTGCCTCTATTTCATGACATTATATCTAACTGTAGCCCTCTATTAATAATTATATGATCTGCAATCAATAATAATTAAGTCTCTACCATAAAAGTTTTCTTATTTCTCTATTTAGCTAGTCACAACATTGTTATAATTACTTTAGTAGTTGCAGTACAGCTGATGATTAATGTGAAATGTGTTTCTGTATTCACCTTAAAAGTGAACCATCCTTACCTCGAGAAATCCAGCCCCATCTTGCAGAATCTTTCTTGTAGGTTGTGAGGAGAATCAGTGTTTCAACATCTTATTTAAATATCCAGTCACTGGTAATACTGCGTTATGAAGTAAAAATATTTAAATATGGGCCTCCCCGGTGGCGCAGCGGTAGAGCGCTGGGTTGCGAAGCTGCCCGCAGTCTATGCGGCGCCGGTTCCATCCCTGGTTGCTCCCTGGCCACCAGAGGAGGGTCCCGCATGGCGTGCAGACCTTCCCTGCCGCCTGCTGCTCCCCTCAGCAGTGTACTTCGGTCCTTCTGCCTGCTCTGCTCCCCACTCTGGTGAATTCTCTCACCCTCCCGTGCTTCTGACTGTACCCAGTGCTTGTATGTATAAACAAACAAATAAATAAAATAAATCTTTTAAAAAAAAAAAGAGTTTAAAAAAAATTTAAATATAACATGTAAAAAAGGCAAGCAGGGCCTCCCCGGTGGCGCAGCGGTTGAGCGCTGGGTTGCGAAGCTGCCCGCAGCCTCTGCGGCGCCGGTTCGATTCCCGGCTGCTCCCCGGCCACCGGAGGAGGGTCCCCCATGGCGTGCAGACCTCTCCTGCCGCCCGCTGCTCCCCTCAGCAGTGTACTTCGGTCCTTCTGCCTGCTCTGCTCCCCACTCTGGCTCTGGTGAATTCTCTCACCCTCCCGCGCTTCTGACTGTGCCCAGTGCATGTATAAACAAAACAAGCGAACAAACAAACAAATAAATAAATAAATGAAACATGCCTCTATTAAAAAAAAAAAAAAAAAAAAGGCAAGCAATAAACATGAATTTAAGTACAGATGTTGAGTAGTTGAAGGATTGAAGTAATTTGCCTTGTTAAGAGCAGTTAGGAGACTTGTGGCTGACACCAGACGACGTGGACTCTAGTCCTCATTTGGCCACTTACCTGATGGGATTAAGTCCTTATGCCTCTTTCTGTCCTAAATTCCTTTACCTGTAAAATGAGAATGACATCAGTCCTTACTTCAGAGCTGAAGATTTAATCAGTAACGACACCTAAAACAGTATTAACACTCGAAGTGTGATGGAAATATAAATGTGGAACAACATTAAAGGGAGATGTATTTTGAGATACGAGCAAATTCTAAGGGGGGGGTGTTATTGGACAGCTGCCATAGTAAATGTAGCACAAACTATTTCTCCTGCCAGTTAAGGAGCCACTTGTGCCCGCTGCTCCCCACAGCAGTGTCCTCCATCTGTCTGCCTGTTCTGCTCCCCGCTCTGGCTCTGGTGAATTCTCTCACCCTCCTGTGCTTTTGACTGTACCCAGTGCTTGTATAAATAAAAAAATCTTTTAAAAAAAACTGGTGAGTCTCACCAGTTCTGGATCTGGCCACCCACCATGACAAATGCAAACAAAAGGGCCTTTGGAGCAGCAAAAAAGAAAACACAGTTAACAGGAGCCAGCACCTGCCAATGCTGCTAAGGTCAGGGGCTCCTTCTATCCGCCCCCCCCCTCCCACACACAGGTAGCAGGGTAGCTGTATTCTGTAGAAGCTCCAAGGGAAAAAAGCAAACCCATGTGAAATGTCAAGTTTATCTACTAAGTGTATATTGTTCTGAAATTATTTAGGTTCCTCTAAGATCCAAACAATGAAACCATTATTTTTACACTTACTCAAAATTTCATTTACTTCCTTTGTGTTTTTTTTTTTTTTACTGTATTCCTATTTTCATTTCATTCATAAATTTCCACTCAGCTTCAAGTATCTGCAGTTCATCCATCTCCAGAGCTCCATTCTATTTTCAGTAGCATTGTCCCCCTCCCATACCGGCTACCACTTGATCTGTTTTTTCCAGGGAGACTTTTTTGTAGGTTACAGGCCTTTCTATGTGGTTTCTTTCACCATCTCTCCACAGACACTCAAAGTCATGCATATTTTCCAGGACATCTTTGAAGAAAAATCCTTGATTTCGCAGCTTTCATGTCTTCCCAACATCAATATTTGTAATATTTCTTCTGTAGTACTGTTCTCTTTTGCTTATCATTTCTTGACCATATACACGGCAGAGATATCTATAAAATACAAACAATCATAGGTATCCTGTTATTTACAGCTAGGAAAGAAATGTTTCATAGCGAAAACAATGGGACATCAAAAGTAACTTATACTGAACATAGCTGTGAACATTCCCAACCATGATCTTGACATTTTTAGAATTCTAAAGAACAGGATTCTTCCCTAAAGAAAAGTAATCACTTACCATTCAATTAATTGCAGGGACATCTCGTTTCAAACATGCTATGACAATAACATGTTGTGCAAACATGTTAGCTCTGAAATCAGAGGTATTCTTCTATATGGACTCCAAAGCACAAATAAACTGATAGTGAACATCTTACTGTCTCATATCTGAGGGGAAAGGAAGTGTGTACTTTTGGCATATAACACACAACACACTAATGGTAAATAATACAAAACAAACTCATAAAAATGGCAATTGAGAATTGTAATCACACCATTTAGAAGGATTTTAAAAATTGCCAAAGAATATTTTTCTAAATACTTGTAAAAAACTGTAGACTCAGGGCCTCCCTGGTGGCGCAAGGGGTTAAGTTTCAGCACTATGAAGCTATCAGTAGCCATTGCAACATGAGTTTGATGCCTGGCCAGGGAGCTGACCCACATGGCGCAGTGGACCTCTCCTGTCTCCCGCTGCTCCCCTCAGCAATGCATTTCAGTGGATCCACCTGTTCTGCTCCCCACTCTGTCTCTGGTGAATCCTCTCACCCCCCTGCACCTCTGGCCTGTACCCTAGTTCTTGCATGCATAAATAAAAAATAAATCTTTAAAACAAAACTGTTTTAAATTCAACTGTTTTAGACTCAAGAAGAATATGATTTTCACAAAATTATCATATCAATTCTATTGCCTTACATATACTGAAAGACCATCCATAAACCATAAGGGTTAATAAAACATTCTAGTAAACTATGATAAAACCAGCAGTAAATAACATATAACCATATTATAAAAAATATTTTTTAAAACGTGAAATATCTACCGATACGAAGAAAACACTTATCCTCTACAAAGAGCACACAATATAAGAGCTGCAAAATATGTTGAAATCACTGAGTTCTGAAATATCAGTACAGAAAAATACCTAGTTTTAAAGAAAGAAGTCACAAATATGATATCAGAACAGTGACATTAAATACAGCAAATCCCTACCTATGCAGTGCCCTCAACTATCCAGCTCAAGATCTCAAAATGTACATACAACAGAGTGCGTGCTTTGAAAATGTATTCACTACAGCCAGGAGACAACACTTTTCAACAAAATCCCAAAATAAAAACATCCAAAACAGGGTACTGGGTGTTTCCAAGCAAAAACATCCAAAAGGACATTGAATAAACATGACAGAAAGTTACTAAGTTGTATAAATAAAAGTAACTGTGATCTTGACTTTATTGCATGCAATCTGAAATCTCTAACAGCAGTAATGTGTTTCAAGAGCACACGAGATGAAAAATGCAGTATGAACAATAGTTATTTACAAGCCTCAGAGCTATGAGGAACTGAACTTGGGCAAAGGCCTCCCTAGGAGAAATACCTGTTACGTTTATTGTGGCATAGAGGGACGGTCACTAGTGTAGAGATTTTCGGAATCAGTTATAGCCAGATACACTTAGTCTTTCCTGATACCGTCTATCTCAGCCTCCTGGGACATGCCGTCAACTTAAGAGCTTCTAGAGGTGCTTCAGGGACGTAGCAGGGTGATCAGCAGCGTTAGCTAATGAGTCCTGCCTCGGGAATTTCAGTTGCCAAGTAAACCAACTCGTGGGAAAGTCCACCAGAAGCTGCGCCTCACCCAAAGGTGAACTGAAAGAGCAAAACCACATGAAATTTCAGACGCTAGGAATGCGTGTTAGCAAAGCAAGTTGGAGAGGCACCACCATGCACACTCGCACGACCGTGCGTTCCTAGACCCGGCTGGAGGGAGCAAGAGAGGAAAACACTAGACGAGGGGCCAAGCCACTGCAGGACCCTGACGAGGGAGGATGCGGTTTACGCCGAGCGCCGAAAGACTGGACTGGGGGGCAAAGACAGACGGTCCTCGACGCTGCTGAGTGCGGTTTTGCTAAGTCACGATTACAGACGCCCCTACTAGGCCCCCCCACGCACCCCTCAAATGCGGCAATGGCGGAAGGCAGGCGACGCGCGGTACAAGCCCATGCTCCCGGGCGTCCTTCCCGGTGGTGCGGCCACACCCGCCGCTCACGCCAACCGCGGCGCCGTGTCCCGGACCCTCCGGCGGGCACGGTCCTCGTCCCGCCCGAGGGGACCAGGGAGCGGGGAGCCGGGAGGCGCGGCCCGGCGCTCCAGGCGGGCGACTTCCGCCTCCGCTGCTCTGCCCCTCAGGGCTCTCGAAGCCGGAAGGGAGAACCAACCAGCGCTCTGGGAGGAGGGAGACGTGAGTCCCGTTCGACACTTCTCGCGATGCCGCGCAAGCCCCGCCTCTCCGCGCCCCGCCCAGGCCCCGCCCCCAATCGGGCAGGCACCTCCCCGCGCGTGCGCAGTTCCCTCTGGTTGCTTGCAGTCTAGACTGGTGTCACGGCGTGGGGAGCGGCCGCCCCGAGCCTGCCACTCCTCGCGCCCGCCCCACCGCCCAGGTATTTTCAGACGTCGCCATGACAGACCGGGGGAAACTTCTCTTTGGGTTAAAATATGCCAGTTGGTCCCGCCCTGTGCTGGTCTGCCCTGCCCTTGAGAGACGACTCCTTTCCAGACGCTTCCGATGGTCCTTGGCACCCCACCCCCACCCCCGCTCCCAACCCACAATGGAACTCCTGAATTGGAAAAATTCTGCCAGAATTGTTTTTGGCGGTTGAAACGCTGGTGAGGAGGGGATGTCTGTGGAGAAGCCACCAGTGCCGTGTATGGCTTCCGTTTGCATTCTGGGGTCTGCCCAGCGGACGCTATCTGAGCTAGCACAGGGCATCGGGGCGCCTGCCAGCAGGTAAACTTCCTCTCTCCCTGTGTAAATAAATTCCGTAAATGATTGTCTCACAACGTGTCTGCTTCCCCGTCATGTCCTGCAGTCCTGTGTACACGGATGGAAACCTACCAGCTCAGTCAACCCTGGTCCCTCAGTTTTGTCCTGTTGGAGAATTATCTCAAAATGCTTTGAAACAATGCAAAGATACGTAAGTAGACGAAAAGGACATCGTACAGAATTGGAGAAAATAGTCACACATGACATAACTGAAAGGTAAACATACAAGATATTTTTTAAAAATATTCAATTTACTAATATAAATTCATTTACTAGAGGGTCAACAGATCTCAAGAGGCAAGTCACCAAAAAGGACATCACCCCCCCCCAAAAAAAAAGGTAATAGCTAGAAGGGAAAATGTCATTTTTTAGTAAGGGAGAAGCAAGTCAAAACCACAGTATCTCACGCCCATATATATGGATGGCAAATATGAAAGAAACACTTCCAGTAAGTTCTAGGGAGCATGTGATCTAAGAACCCTAGGGCCTCCCTGGTGGCCTAAGGATTGAGTCTCAGCACTATCACAGATATGGCCTGAGTTTGATTCCCATCCAGGGAGCTAACCCTGGCATTTATTAAGGCATTTCCAGGACATGTAAGCTGCCCACACACCTAGTCATCAAGCACTGGAACAAGAGGATGTGGTATATCCACACAATGGAATACTGTTCAGCCATAAGGAAAGACAAAATGCTACCATTTACGGCAAATTGGAAGACGAAGACATTAGAGAAATTGTGTGTAGTGAAGCAAGTCAGAAGGCAGAATGGCAATGTAGGACGCCTGCACAGCAGACAATTCAAAACGGCGGAATACTTATCAAAACACTCAGACTAATGAAAATGAGGTGTGTGAGGGTGAGGATAGTGAAGAGAGAAAAGGGCTTAAAGATACTGAAAAATCAACTACAAAATCCTTTGCATCAGTAAAGTTCCTGCCTGTAAGAATTTCATGACTCACAAGGTGTGAATTTACATTACAGGTTTTGTCACAGGATAGGAATTACAAAGTTGATTTTCCTTAACTTTGCACAATCACATTTGTATAGTTACTTTTGAGAATGGTTTCTCTTCTGATTTGCAAACTGAAATTTCAAAAAAAAAGGCTTTACCAGCCCTTTCCTTTCAAGGGTTTCTCTTTAGCATGTATTTTCTGATGATAACAGGGAGTGACATTTGACTAAAGACTTTTGTCACATAAATTTGTATGTTTTCTCTCCAGTATGAATCCTGATGATTTACAAGGAAGTGAACTATGACTAAAGACTGCCACACTGCTTAGTATTTGTACACTTTCTCTCCTTCAACTCCTGGATGTCTTTCTGGGTTTCCGCGTCTCCTAAAGTGCTTGCCACACTCGTTACATCTGTGAGGCTTTTCTCCAGTATGAATTTGATGACTGCAAGGCTTGAATTTACATGAAAGACCTCACCACACACACTGCCTTTATATGGGCTTGCTCTGGTGTGGTCTGGTGTCTACTGAGGTATGCGCTCACAGTGAAGGCTTTACCACAGTGGTTGCACGTAAAAGGCCTCTCTCCAGAATGAACTCTCTGATGATAAAGGTGTGAATACCTACCATAGACTTTGCCTCACTCGTTACATCTGTATGGTTTCTCTCCATTATGTATTCTTCTACGCACTCTAAGACTTGAACTTCGACGAAAGCACTTACCACACTCATTACATTTGAACCGCTTCTCCCACTATGCAGTCCTTTGGATGACAAGGCTTGAATTCTGACAAAAGCCCTTGCCACACTCATTATATCTGTAAGGTTTCTTTACAGTATGAATCCTCTCATGCTTTGTGAGTTTGTACTTAAGACCTTGCCACATACATTTGAATTTCTCTCATGTAAGGGTCAGCTGATGACTACAAAGGGGTGATTCTATAGTAAACATTTTGCCATAGACATTACAGCAAGGAAGTTTCTCTCCAGTATGAATTCTCTGATGAATAGTAAGGTAAAAATTTTCAGTATAACTTCTGTCACACTCATTGCACCTAATATGGTTTCTCTCCAGAATACCTATGCTTGACTAGCAAAGTGATAGTAACAGTTTTTGAAGAAACAGATGACTCCATCTAAAGCATCATATGGAATTGTAAGGAACCCTGAGTAGCAAAGCAAACTTGACAAAGAACAAAGCTGGAGGCTTGCACTTCCTTATTTCAAATTTATTACATATCTAGTCAAAACAGGCATAAATAAGACATAGGTCCAGTGGAGCAGGACAGACACAAGAACGGATATTCTTGTGTATCTGGTCAACTGACATTTAAAGAGATTGCCCAGATGCCTCAATTAGGGAAGAAGGAGAGTCTCTTTCTAAATGTGCTGAGAAAACTGGATACCATATGTAAGACTGAAGTTATGCCGCCACCTTAGCTCAGATACAAAAATTAACTCAATGTGGATTACAGGGGATCACTGTCTGTCACTACACTCTTCCTAAGTAACAGTCACGAGCATCCCTCGGAGCATCCCTCAAGCATAGCAAGAGCAGAAGAGCTGTGGTGACTGACAGGCCTGAACAATGGGCAGGCTTGAGAGCTCCCCTAGCATCTGGGGTGCCGATGAGACAGGCCGGCAGCCAGTCTCCCCAGATCCTGATTAGTTCTTCCAAATACAGCAAACGGAGACTGAGGAGAACAAGTCCAGGGGTGAGGAACACAGAGCCCTCAGCTCTAACCTACATGAACTGAGAAGCAAACACCTGAAAAGCCAAGAACAGAAAGAGACTAAAGGGGACGGTGAGTTTTAACATTGCCGGGTCCTAAGGTCCTGGTGCTCAAGGGCTCATAAGGACACAGCAGGGCGCTGCGGGTCACCACGAGGACCTCGGCCGTTGCCTCTGTTCAGCTGCAGCATCAGTGGAGGGTGAAGGATCGAGTTCACACGCAGAAACGTAGAGCGATAAGCTGGGGGGAAGGAAAACTCAGAGCTCAATAGGAAGTTTCTCTGCCCACAGAACTCTCCCACCCAGGGCGCATTCCCGCCCACCACACACGTGCTGTTTTTTTCCCTGCCTCTCTTGTCTCCACAGCTTTGACACGAGCGCCTTTTTTGGCTTGGTCCCTCTTCACTTCCCTCTCCACAGTCTGGGGTGCCTTCCCCTCAACCACAATGGAGAGTATGCGGACCACAAGCAGACATTTTTGCCAGTAAGAAAAACATGGGCGGCTGTGTCTTTTCTACAATCCCAGCTGCTTGTTCGCTCAGCTAAGGATGACACAGATATTTCTAGAAAAATATTTCACTAGTATCTCCATTGCCTGCCTGCCCCTGAATGAAGACGGATCAGCGTAATGTGCAGAGGCCTAGCTCTCGGCCAGATGGCGGAGTCAAAAGCACAGGAGGAGGAAACAGAGCACTGGCTACCTTAACAGCGAGCCCTGGAGCTTTGGAAATCCTTATGCTGGGGAACAGGCCCCCATGTGCCATGGAGGCAGCAGGTCATGTGAAGAAGGGGCAGACGCCACACGGCAACGTTCAACACGTCTCCCTCAGTGGGGCTCTGGTCATGGCTGAGCAATACAGGTGCTCTCAGGTGTCACACAGGGAAAAAGCAAAGTCACTCAAGGCAGACCCCGGCTGCGCTCCCTCACCCAGAAAGATCAGGCTCCTGCGGGTCTCCAGCATCACCTCCCTGTACAGGGCCTGCTGAGCAGGCTCCAGGCGCTCCCACTCCTCCTCGGAGAATTCAACGGCCACGTCCTCAAGCATCAGCTGTGCCTGAAAGGAAAGCAGAGTTGACCAAAGGGCCACAGGGACAATTCTCATCCCCTCACGAACACAGGAGAGCAAGTGAGGATGAATCTGGCTGAAGTCTGCGTGGTGACAGATGCATTAAAGGTCTTTGGAGCACATTAGCTCTCCGTTATTTGTTCAAAATACTCTTTTGCTTTCCACAGAACATGGCATCCTCCAATCACTGTGGTTTCTGTGTACCGGGGGACAGGAGGGGAAACACACACCTCACTATCTAAACCATGGGCATCTACCCTGACCGTAAGGTTCCGTATTCTACACACCAAGAATTTTTAGCAGCGAATGACCCGGAGCCTCCGCCGTGTCTTCAGAGCCAAGATCCACCGTGTCTTAAAAATCATGAGGCTGGTGACAGCAGCACTGACCAAAGAGCGTGAACCCCCTTCCTGTGAGCAGATGTGCCACCCACGACCTGCCCGCTGTTGGCCCCAAACCCAACAGAGAACAGTCCACCCTAGCTTGCAGAGAAAACAGAGGCACAGACACGCCAAGGAACTGGCCTCAGGTCGAACAGCTGAGAAGCTGCACCTGAACCCAGAGGGCTACTTTCAGGCTGAATCCAAAGAACCAAAAGGATACCCAGCGGCCTCGCGTGACCAGCCCACAAAGGGCTCCCCAAGGGGCCTCGCACACTGCGTGAGAGGCCACCACAGATGGAAGCAGGGGCAGGCTGCAGCACCCAACTAGCCAGAGTCACCCAAGCAGGCCTGTAGAGCACAGCTGAGGGAACGGAAGGTATTCACATATTGTTTCAGCTGCTACACCATGAAGTTTATATACGAAAATGGTGATCTCGTTCACAAAAGCCAGGAGTGTGTGCAACTGAAGGGAGGAGGTGACAGGCGTGTTACCTCAGATGACGTGTTCTAGAGTCTTCCCCACTCCCCTTCCCCTTCACCTGTGCCTGAGCATTGACGCTGTATCAATTATTTAAGTTGCTCTATCAATACTATTCCAGAGGTGGTTAGTAAAAACTATTGCAGAAATATGAAAAAAAAAACCAAACACTTGAAATGCAACATCAATAAAGTGCCTATATTCAAATACGCTAGTGCTTTACCTACTTGTACGTACGTAGGTATGAACAAAAGCCAAACACGTTTTATGTTAAAGCTGACGGAATAAACACCCGCTAGCACTGACGTCCGTTTCTGGACTGCCCACTGCATTTCCAATCAGGGAGATTTTGAAGCCAGTGACTCAGTCATTAAGTTTCAAGCCTACATGAAAGTCAGAACTGATGCCCCCTCCAGGCTCTTTCCCAGAATCAACCAGGAATTTCTACATATTCATATCCGCCCGTGCAGCTGCCTTTATCCTGATTGAAGGAGAACACAGTGCACCCAGATGGGCCCCTAACACCCCGCTCCCCACCACACTGACCCCACAGCGCCTGTGCCCCATCCCCAGCCCACCCAGGGTGTGGCCTCCTCTTGCATGGTGCCCAGAAGGGCTTCCTCACCAGCTCGTGTCCCTAGGTAAGGGTGAGCTGGTACCTAGGGTGTGTGAGGGGCATTGTGGGGGAGCCCTGGGCATGTGAACCCTCAGTGTCCCCCAGCAGGTTCAGAGTAGCGACCAGCAAGTCCAGACAAGGCCTTTCAAGAGCCACAGCAGTCAGCTGAGGACTTCACCTGAGAGAGCACCTCTCCTGGCTCCTGTCCTTGCCTCTCCCTCCTCTTGGGGCTCTCCTCCCCAGGCACCCTAAGTCTCGAACGGTCCATCCTGAAAGAGAAAAAAGGGCCATTTCATGCTCACAATCACCACACTCACTGTGCCCCCCTCCGCAGGGCAGCCTCCCATGGGGAGCAGACCCTCGGCTGCCCCTGTCACAGGAGGGACTCAGGGACCACCCATTGAGTCTCACCCCTTTCTGGGGAAGCCCTGACCTGGCCTGCGGCCCAGGCCCAGACGCAGTCCCAGGTGAAGCAGGGCCTGTCACCCCCGCCCAGACCTCAGCCCAGGCTGGAGGGCAGAGCTGGTGTCTCAGGGCAGATGTAGATTCCAAGCACCAGACACACTTGAAATATAACAGGGACGACCCAATCCCAACTATTTGAAGGAGAATCTCTGGTCAGAGCAAAAAAAGATGCATCTGCAAAATGTCTCTGCACCCTCACTGGACACTAGAGCTGAGAAAACGGGGTGGGGGGGTGTGGTCAGCCCAGCACACTGCTCACACTTTTTTCCAGTCTTATAATTAATTGACAAGTGTAACCGACAAGTGGAAGGTGTACAGCCTGGTCCACTGAATGACACAAATACTGAGAAATAACCATCACCATCAAGTCGTCACATTTAGCACCCCTCAATTACCAGCTTCTGTGAGCTGAGAACACAGATGTGCTCTTGGCCTATGTCAAGTCCACACTACAGCATTCACTACAGTCCCCACACCGCAAATCGGTCCCCAAGGGCCACTCATTCTACCACAGGAAGTTGATGTGCTCTGACCAACACCCCCCCCACCTCCCAGGACCGGGTCAACTGCCATTCTGCTCTCTGGTTGGATGAACGTGACATTTCGAGGTCCCCCATTTAAGCCAGATCCTGTCTTTGCCAGTCTGGCTTGTTTCACTTGGTCCTCCTGTTTTTGTATGTTGTAAAAGGCGGGGTTCCCTTCATTTTTAAGGCTGAATACCATTTCGTCAACAGGCACCCACGCATGAGCAGACCGACAGATGCGCGGAAGCTCAGGTCTCCCCTCAGAGCACACCCCCAGGAAGGGCCGCGCTGTCCCGGGAGGAGATGAGGCCTCTGCCTCCGTCCGCAAAGAAAACAGGGGAGAGAAAAGGTGCAACTCCTAATGCACCACTCCTGCGGGGGGGCCCCCCCTTTCTTCACGACTGTGATTCCCTGTGTCAAAGATCAACGCCCGAAGCCAACACCCGCCCCCTTACTCCCCCCCCCAAACGGGGCCTTCACGTGCCCTGAGGTGAGGTTCTCAGAAACAGCAGAAAAACGCCTGGAGCCCCCTCCTCAACACAGAGGCCAGCTCCCCATTTTGCCCCCTGCTCCCTCGCAGGGTGTTAATAAACGCGCCTTTTCGGTTCCCCCTTCAGTCTCAGGTGAATTCTTTGGGCCCCACCACAGCCCCCTCCTGGCTCCAGGGCAGCCCCCCGGCGCCCGGCCGCCACCGCCCTCCAGCCTCCCTCCCCGGCCGAGCGGGGCACGCCTCCCGCCCCAACCCGCCCCCTGCGCTCCCCCAGTCCTCCTCCCCGCTCCGGTCCCTCTGGCCCGGCACCTTCCCACCCAAAGGAAGGACTGGGGCGCAGGGGACGCTGCCGGGGCTGGGACGCGGGCCCGGTCGCCGGGGGCGGGGGGGGGGGGGGAGAGCGGGGCGGGAAGGCCGCGGGCGCGGGCCCGGCGGCGGGGCCTACACGCGGCCGCCCGAGGTCGGTACCGGAGCTGAAGCGAGACACGGTGTCGACGACGGCACAGGAGCCGCTCCCGGCGACGCACGGATTCCCAGGGCGGGGGGTGAAGTCCGTAAGGGACCCCGACCTTGAGCGTGTGGGCGGCGAAGCGCGCGCTCCCCGCGGAAGGATAAAACCTCAGGCGCCGCCGGTGCGACCCTTGACCCCACCTCGCCGCCTTCAAAACTGCGCTTGCGCGGAGCGGCCAGCGCTGGGGGCGGGGCCTGGCTGGGCGGAGGCGGGGCCGAGCGGGGGGCGGGGGGCCTGTGAGAGACTCGCTTCGTCTTTGTTTCCTGCGTTCGCGAAGATTCCACAAACCTTTCAGTGTTAGGAGCAGTTGCTTCCTACCCATTCTGCGTTCATGTTTCTAAGACTTTTAAGGGAACGCTTAACGTTGTGTGGGCACTTGGGTTGTACACTAAACTGCCTTCCTCAAAATAAGTTTAAAAACTGCTTAAGTCGCAATAGGGAAGGGTTAACATCCAAGATGTACAGAAAAAAGAAAACTTACTCGATTTAACGACAATAAGCCAAACAACCCAGTCCATGGTCAGCAGATGTCGTCACCAACGATATCCACCCGGCAGGAGGTAGCTGGGAAGACGTTCCGCGTCGCTCTTCATAAGGGAAATGCGGATGGAAACCGTCGTGAGGCCCCATCTCACACCCGTGAAAACGGCACGTACTAAGAAGGCCCCCCCACAATTGCTGGAGGTGATGAGAGGACGAGCCCCCTACACTGCTGGTGGGAATGTGGAAACGGAGCCACCATTTTGGAATGCGCTCGCCTTCTTAGAAACTTAACATGGGGCTGGCACAGGACCGGGCAGTCCCAATCTGGACATTTATCTGAAGGGCATGAAGCCCTGAGATAAAGAAAATTTATGCTCTACAATATTTGTCGCAGCATCATTTACAGTAGCGGTTCTTGTAACAGTCTACGTGCCCTCTGTAGAGAAATGGGTAAAGATGGGGTTGGGCCACACCCGATACTACTCCAGTCCCAAGGGAAGATGTCATGTTACCATTTAAAGCAATAGGAGTTTAAGAGAATTCTATGTTGTGAAGCAAATCAGAATGAGAAAAACAAGAAGTTTATGTGGCAGATGACTCAACAAAGCACAACACAAGGACCAGCATATAAAAAGTGGGTTCTGAGGATACGAGTGAAGGGGGCAGGTAGTGTCAAAAGGGTATAAAGGACGGTGGTAAGGTTGAAAAAAAAAAGAATTTCTACCTTGGCATGTCAAATAACAGTCTACGTTGTTATCATTACAAAAGAAACAGATTTTGGCACTTGGTTACACACAATCCAGTTAGTGAAGTTGAAGCCATTCAGGCATCTGGGAACTGGGATCTTGGCAGAGGGTGATGTAAGGCACTGGAGGGACCCAGGAATGTTTCCTGCAATTATGACTAATTTAAGCAGTTAAACAAGAAAGGGAGGTCACAAGCTAGTACATGAGATACGAAACTGGGAAGACTACACAGTTTAATACAGACCCCCAACAGAACACATCCATTTCTATCGTACTTTTGACCCAGACACCAAGACATGCTGCTCAGTTCCAGACATTTTCAGGACAAGCACTGGATGGTCTTTGATTCCACCATTGAAAGAAATTGCAATACCTCCCTTCAACCTTGAGATTGGTGGAGTGTTAGTTTTTATGATGGAGGACCTTAAAGAAGTGCAATAAAACTCAATTGGTAGAAAGAGTAATTCAGTGTTATGAAAAAAATCATTAGATTTTATTAACTGAGTAAAAGAGAAGTAAATGCACTGCCAGCAGTTAAATGGGAGTCGTATACAATCACATACTATTCTGGTTCTTTCCAGTAAACTCCCTTCCCAGATAACTGCTCTCCAACTTCCAAGAATAAGACTATTTTTCATGAATCTATGATAATACCAAGCTATTGCCATTCAATGGAGAAGTGACCATTTCCCCTGCACTATTTCTACCAAATAATCAGAAGCTAGTAACATACCCCTCTCCTCCAATGAAAATGCCACCCACTAAATGTACTGGCAGCTCTCATTCATGGTCATTTGGCAGAACATTCTTTCCTATCACCCACAGTGATCTCTCTAGAGAAGGGTGCCATGAACATAAGAATGACTTATTTCATAGTTTTATGTTGTCCTGAAGTTAATTCACACAAGACTGAATTTGATGATTCAGAGTCCTTGTTTTCCCAGGGAACAGGTGAGAAAACGAACCACATCAAATGATGTAGGTTGTTTCATCGTATGATACCTTCCCAGGTATTACAGAAGGTCTGTGAGGAAGGCAGAAAGTCAACAGGTAGTTCAGGTACAAAATCAGAAATACTAATGGTGCCTCTTTAGGAAAAGTCAAGATAAATATTCTATAGACTGAATGATTACTTTCACACGTATCATTGGTCCCTGTGATATGCAGCAACATATCGTGAATTTTAACACATTCAGGATTACAATTATTCTCTACCTTAGAGAACAGACATTTAGATTAGTAGTATAAAATGTCTGGTCCAACATGAGAATTCTCTCGTTTGAATTCTCATTACTCAAAAGACAAAGGCATTCAATAAGCTTTCAGATATCCGTTACTCTTGTAAAAATGCTTTCCAGTGTAAGTCCTCAGATATTTCATGACCTTGATCTTTGGACAAAAGCCTTAACAGGCACATTATTTTCCTGTGATTTTTCTGAAAGATGCCCAGATCCTGATGTCTCATGCATTGCATCCTGGGTAAACCCTTTGACACAAACCTTTACAGGGTTTCTCTTCTATATATCCAGTTTTTGCATATTTGAGCTCAGGGTAAAGTGTCCGGAGCATGCACAGTGTTGTGCGGCACTTAGGTTTCACTTTACAGTTTCGTTTTCTGAGAACCATTGCATTTCTCATAAATCGCGTGTGCACAGGAAGTAGGCTGGGAGGAGCTACCGCATGTATAAATTGGAGTGTTGCGTTAGAGAGACGGATAATAAAAAAAAAGAATTGAATTCGCTAGCTGCATTTTGTCTCGTTGTCCCTCATTTTAATCTTCAGCCCTTCTCTTCTCGTGCCTCCGATTCCCGCGGGTCGGGACAGTTGGCGCCCAATGTGGGGCACGAAGAAGAATGAGGGAATTGCTGAAGGACCAGCTGTGGTGAGCTGGCAAAGAATTAAGGTAAGTAGGTGGGATCATGGGCAATTCGATGTCCAAGGGGCAGTTAGTTATTTCTCTAGATGCTCTCCTAAATGAGTTTGGAGTTCCCCTTAGGAAAAAGATTCTTATAAGATTTGTAGAGACCCTTAGTGTCACTAGTAAGTTGGTTTCTGGAGCAGGATCAGGTCAATAGTGCCAACTGGAATAAGGTGAAAGGAGATAATCGTCTTACATCAGCAATTATATGGTCTTGAGTCTCTTCCTGGCACTACTTTGACGGTCTGGGGAGTGGTGGGAGATGCTCTTAATGCCGGTGGAACTGCTGCCACTCAGCCGCTGAAGCTGTCAGGACCGCTAAACAATTGGAGGAAGAAGGTAAAAGTTCCATTGTGGGTTCTACACCGGTAAATCCCCCTTCCTCTACTCAAATAATCCAGGCCCCTCCCCTGGATTATTCTACTGATGAGTCGGGAGGAGAGGAGGAACAGGATGAGGAAGGCCACGGTTGTTATAAGCCAGGGAAGCGTAAAAAGAAGTGGAAAACACTTGGGGAGCCACCTCCTGAGGCAGGTAGAACACTCGACAGGGTTGATCTTCCGTTAATGGAAAGACCATGCTCTATGATGGAAAGAGTCCTGGTTTCCCAGGCCCCTAATTATGCTTACCCAGTCTTGGAAGAGACAGATCCTCAAGGGGTGCGTACTAGAGTACATGTCTCCACAGCTTTTTTTTTTTTTTTTCAAAGATTTATTTATTTATTTATACAAGCACTGGGTACAGTCAGAAGCGCGGGAGGGTGAGAGAATTCACCAGAGCCAGAGCGGGGAGCAGAGCAGGCAAAAGGACCGAAGTACACTGCTGAGGGGAGCAGCGGGCGGCAGGAGAGGTCTGCGCGCCATATGGGACCCTCCTCCGGTGGCCGGGGAGCAGCCGGGGATTGAACAGGCGCTGCAGAGGCTGCAGGCAGCTTCGCAACCCAGCGCTCAACTGCTGCGCCACTTGGGAGGCCCATGTCTCCACAGCTTTTAAAGATTTGAAGGCATTAAAGGAAGCAGTTACTCAGAATGGCCTCCAGAGCGCTTTTACGCATACCTTATTGGATAGCTGGATCGGCATGAATCCCACTCCAAACGACTGGAAGGCGCTGGTCAAAGCGGTGACTTCCCCAGGGGATTATTTGGTATGGAAGAGTATATTTTTAGAGAACTGCACTCACACAGCTAAACTCAATGCTGATGCTGGATTTCCAGGTAGAAACAAGGATATGTTAGCAGGAGAAGGGCAATACGACAGTAACGACCGACAAAAGGATTATGATCCGGCTGTATTCACCCAAGTCGCAGCAGCAGGAAGGTCGGCCTGGAAAGCAATAGGAGATAGAGGAGGCGCTGACATTCAATTAACAAAGGTCCTTCAAGGGCCGACAGAACCATATGCGGAGTTCCTAGCAAGATTGATGACCGCACCTGGCCGAATTCCAGGTAACACTGATGCCTCCCTACCGATAGTTAAACAGCTTGCATTTGAAAATGCTAATAAGTGGTGTCAGGAAGCTCGAGCTAGTTTGGATGATTATGTGAGACTTATGGAAGGATATTTGTGAAGCTCAAGTTACCGGTGCGGTGATCGCTCAGGCCTTGCGTGGTCCAGTCACTGGACCATGAAACAGTGCCTGTTTCGCTTGTGGTCAGCAGGGGCATATAAAGGCCTCCTGCCCATCTTTGGGGCGGAGCGGGGGCGCTATGGCACCACAAACTGCTAACCCTCAAAAGAAACCAGGAGTGGGCCTCCCCGGTGGCGCAGCGGTTGAGTGCTGGCTTGTGAGGCTGCCCGCAGCCTCTGCAGTGCTGGTTCGATCCCTGGCCACCGGGTGAGGGTCCCACATGGCGCGCAGACCTCTCCTGCCGCCCGCCGCTCCCCTCAGCAGTGAACTTCATCAGTCTGCCTGCTCTGCTCTCTGCTCTGACTCTGGTGAATTCTCTCACCCTCCCGCGTTTCTGACTGTACCCAGTGCTTGTATAAATAAAGTATAAATAAATAAATAAATCTTAAAAAAAAAAAAAGAAAAAAGAAACCAGGAGTTTGTCCACGGTGCCGAAAGGGTAGCCATTGGGCGAACGAATGTTGGTCTAAGACAGGTTATCAGGGAAATCCGCTGATAACCCCACCCCCATGGGAGGGCAGCCAGGAAACTCGTGGGGGAGGGCGCAGCCCCGGCAACCCTCTCAGCCCATCATAGGGGCAGTTCAGAACAATCCCCAAATAAGGCAAAGTTTTTCTCTCACCTCTTCCGCACCTCCACAGGAAGTGGCGGATTTGATTTGAGTGTCTCCACATTCACTGTTCTTACTGCTAGCATGGGAGTGCAGTGCTTACCTACAGGCCAATATGGTCCTCTCCCCGATGGAATTGTGGGGCTAATAAATGGCCGCAGCTCCAGTGCCCTTAAAGGCCTTCAGGTCATCCCAGGCCTCGTTGATACTGATTACACTGGAGAAATTAAGATTCTTGCGTCTGTCGCTCACGGAGTTGTCTCTATATCCCCTGGTGACAGAATAGCTCAAATTATACCATTACCAAGATTAGCCAGTGGTGGAAAAGTCCACCACGTAATTCGCGGTGCTGAAGGTTTTGGCTCTTCAGGCAACCCTCTTGTGAATTTGGCTCTGACATTAGATAAGAGGCCTCTAATTGAATTGATAATTAATGGCAGAATATTTAAGAACCTTTTAGATACTGGGGCAGACACTTCCATTATATCCAAGGAGCACTGGCCTTCACAGTCGCCTGTGGCTACCACCTACACCTCCTTGCAGGGTCTGGGAATATCCCAAAATCCTTCCAGGAGTACTATTGTGCTCTGCTGGAGAGACAATGAGGGCCATAGTGGGCAATTTCAACCTTATGTCCTCCCTGGAATCCCCATGAACCTCTGGGGACGAGATGTTCTGGTGGAGATGGGGGCTTCATTAGTCATGGATAGTCAGGCTGGCCAAATGATGATTAATCAGGGCTACGTGCCTGGACAAGGTTTGGGTAAACAGCAAGGGCCTCCTTCTTTTAATCTACAGGAAGTGACAAGGGAAGCGGGGGGATAGATGAGGGCTCAGTTACCCTTTTTTCTAGGGGCCACTGTGACTAGGCCTCCACCCACGCCCATTCCTATCACCTGGAAATCAGACACAGCTGTATGGGTACCACAGTGGCCCCTGACGAAAGAGAAGTTAGAGGCCGCAAGAATGTTAGTGGAAGAACTACAGGCCGGACACATAGTCCCGTCTACCTCTCCCTGGAATACTCCCATCTTTGTTATCAAAAAAAGGTCTGGAAAATGGAGACTGTTACAGGATCTTAGGGCAGTGAATGCAACCATGGAAGTCATGGGACCAGTGCAACCTGGCATTCCCTCTCCAAGTGCCATTCCACAAGATCATTATATCTTGATCCTAGATCTTAAGTACTGTTTTTTCACTATTCCATTCCATTCCATGATCAAGATTCCAAACGCTTTGCATTTTTTCTTTTTTTTTTTTTAAAGATTTTATTTATTTATTTATTTATTTATACGAGCACTGGGTACAGCCAGAAGCGCGGAGGGTGAGAGAATTCACCAGAGCCAGAGTGGGGAGCAGAACAGGCGGACTGACGAAGTACACTGCTGAGGGGAGCAGCGGGCAGCAGGAGAGGTCTACGCGCCATGTGGGACACTCACCGGCGGCCGGGGATTGAACCGGCACTGCAGAAGCTGCGGGCAGCTTCTCAGCCCAGTGCTCAACTGCTGTGCCACCAGGGGAGACCCCGCTTTGCATTTTCTATCCCGGCCATTAATGCTGCTGCCCCGCATGATAGATATCAATGGGTGTGCCTTCCTCAGGGTATGGCAAACAGTCCCACTATTTGCCAAATTTATGTCTCCAGAGCCATTGCTCCTGTTAGAGTCAAACATTCGCAGGTGCATGTATATCATTATATGGATGATTTGTTACTGGCAGCTCCTACGTCCAACCTGCTGTATGCCTGTTTCCAGGACCTGGAGAATCATTTACTGATGTCAGGTCTAAAGATTGCTCCTGAGAAGTTACAAATGGCCGAGCCTTTTCAGTATTTAGGATACCATTTGAGGAAAGGCAGTTATGCTCCAGCAGTACCAAAACTGGCAGTAGCTCACCTTTGCACCTTGCATGATTTCCAACGCCTATGCAGCGATCTAGCATGGATACGCTCTTCGCTCTCTATTACATCGGGAGAGCTGAAGCCCCTTTTTGACATGTTGAAAGAAAATGCAGACCCCACTTCTCCTAGAGCCATTATGCAGGAGGCTCGTGAAGCGATCACTAGAGTCGAAAAGGCTGTAGCCCAGGTGACCTTAAATAGGTTGTCTGTCTCTCGCTCTTTTGATGTCTTGGAATTTTGTAGTAGCTTTACTCCCACAGCGCTTATATGGCAAGATGGTCCCGTTTATTGGATCCACCTTAACATCTGTCCAAAATGAGTCTTAGAGCCTTATTTTCATTCGGCTGCCAGAATTGTACAAACGGCTCTGGACTCCAGTCTACATCTTTCAGGTACTCACCCGCGAGCGGTGATTCTCCCTTATAACAAAAAACAAATTCAGTGGTTAATACGCCACGATGAAACATGGAGTATCCTTTATTTTACCACTTCAGTGCTATTTGATTCGCATTATCCTAGCAACCCTTTATGCAAATTTTTACAAAATCATCCAGTCTGTTTCCCCAGGATCCTCGTTACTGAACCTATTGCGGGGGTGTGGACAGTGTTTACAGATGGCTCTGAAGGGGATCGGAAGGTGGTCTCGGTGCCCAGTGGTTCAGCCCAAGTCGTTGAGGCGACCACCGTCCTCTTGGCTCTCGAGACCTGCTCACAAGAACCTATCAATTTGTACTCTGACAGCAAATATCTGGTGCACGCTTTAAATGTCTTGGAAACTGTTGCTCATATTTCTGCTCATAGCTCCATCGCACCCCTCCTTCATCAGTTGCAAACACTGATTCGTAAAAGAACTCATCACCTTTTGTGGGTCACATCAGAGGCCATCTCCCATTGCCAGGACCTTTAGCGGCTGGCAATGCCGCGGCTGATTCTCTTACTAGAGGACATCCAATTTGTCCAGTACTTCAGAGTGCTATGGAAGAACACGCAGTCTTGCACACCAACGCCACGTCACTTAAGGGTTGTTACGGATTGACTCATTGTCAAGCTTGTAACATTGTTAGTGCCTGTCACAAGCGTGCACCCTTTGCTCCAGCTGCTGTGCTGCCCCCAGGAGTTAATCCCCAGGGCATCCTCCCTAGCCATATTTGGCAAACCGATGTGACTCATGTACCCTCTTTTGGACGACAGAGCCTGATCCATGTCTCCATTGACACATTCTCTGGTTTTCTTTTCGCCTCCCCACATTGCGGTGAATAGACTTCTGATGTCTGCTCACATTTGCTACAAGCATTTGCGGTAATGGGCCGCCCACGTGTCATTAAGACAGATAACGGTCCTGGTTATACCAGTAAGGCTTTTGCCTCCTTTTGTGCGGTCCATCGCATTGTGCACAAAACGGGAATTCCATACAACCCACAGGGGCAGGGTATAGTTGAATGTGCCCACGGTTCTCTGAAGACTATGCTTTTAAAACAAACAGGGGGAGAACACTCCCCCAGGGATCGTTTGACTACAGCTCTCTTTACCCTTAATTTTTTGACCCTGGATACCCATGGGCGGTCAGCTGCTGATCAGCACTGGTCACCAGACCCTCAGCAGGTCACGATGCTCCAAGCAAGATGGAAGGACCCAGTCAATGAGTGGCAACCACCCGCGCCAGTGTTAATACGGCCGCCTGGCATCATTTGTCTTTTCCCACAGAATGCGGAAGCGCCCCGATGGGTTCCTGCTCGATTGGTTCTATTTGTCGATATACCTGAGCCGGCTAACCTTGATGACACGCCTTTTTTGCTCCCCATTGATCATCATGATTCCACTTTTCCACAAGTATTTGCCACTAATTTTACTTTTGGTCTGGCTTCCAAGCCATTGGATAGAAGGTATGGTAATTTTTTAGGTACAGTATTCTTGAATCAATCGCTATACTTTGACCTGCAAAATAGTAGTTCATGGGATATTGAAGACATGATCACATCCCCATGCTTGGCGCTAGTTAATGCTAGCATAGGGGATTTCCAAGGAAATGGATCCACTGGACACATGATAGGTCTTACAGGTCTGCTTATGCCGCTCAAAGCAAAGAATCACAGTGTTGTTGGGTTCTTCCCATCAGATCCATGTTGGGGCACTGAGTCCCGACACACCCTTTTGCAACTTCCCTTGCCATGGCCGTTAGGTACCTTTCCTGGGAGCCAATATCACACAAGGGAAGGTCTTATATTCTGGGGTCCCCGGCCTCCCTCTTCCAATACTTCTCAACCCCCACTTTCTTGGGCCTTTAGAGGACCTAACTAGCACATGGCACATACATTTACGGGGTGGTTTTTATGTAATAACCATTCATGTCTGGACCTGCGCCCTTTTGCTCTGTTGGGCCAGGGTGAGGTGAAATTATTTAATGGCACTTACTCTGCAAACAGTAGCTCTACCTTTGAACAATCCATTAGTATCCAGACTAACAGATCAGAGTTTGTCTACTGCTGTCTGCCTGTCCCCTCCCTTCTTTTTTGTCCTCTCCAATAACACAGGAAATTCAACTGTATTGAACTGTTCAGCGGAGCCCTGCGCCCTCTCTGCCTGCTGGACCTGGAGTGCAGAGAGGGTGGTGATCGTTCGTCTGCCTTCTACTTTAATCATGCCTGTGGATGCTTCTGCACATCTTTCCCCTGTTCTATTTAGGAGACGTGATTTTGGCATCACTGCAGCTGTTGTCGCTGTTTCAATAGCGGTGGCCGTGGCTGTGGCTGCTGCCGCCGTCACTATCACTCAAGCTGCTGCAAATGCTGACACTATATACAATTTAGCTGCCAATGTTGCTTTTGCGTTAACACAGCAAGATATGAATGAACATTTACAAAATGGACTTTTGATGCTCAATCAGCAGATAGCTCTAATGCAAGAAGAGATAGACACACTTCTGTTAACTGCTCACATGCCTTGTAACCCTCTGTACCGCTTTATTTGTGTAACTCCTGTTGCGGTGAAAAATATGTCTATGGAAGTAAATAGGTTAAATAATGTAATCAGAGGACCCTGTAACCACCAGTTCCTGAACCTGACTGCTCAAATGGCGAGACAGCTCATAACTGTTAACAATACTCAGGTTACCCCTGTTACGGATGAGGGTCTCATTGCCTGGTTTAGAGGACTCCTCCCAGAGTTGCAAGCTTGGGGCGGGGTGGTAGCCTTAGCTCTTGGCTTTTTTGCTGTTTGTGCATTCGGCATATGGTTTCTCCGTCGACTACGGAAGTGAAACAAAAAAACGTGCTATTGCGGTCAGGCAAGTACTTGGCGCCATGGTACTTGATCAGGACTCCCCATTGGCACCCGGATAGGTCAACTTAACCCTAGAGAACCTGTGAGCCAAAGACGGGTAAGAGTGTACACTGTCCAGACCAACCTAAGACAGTGGTCCGGACCAAGTGTGCTGGATTAGCGATGACAGGTAAGGCTGGTCACGGGATATGCCAACCTAAGACAGGCCGGGTGTCTCATTTAAAAGAAAAAAGGGGGAGATGTCCAGAGCATGCACAGTGTCATGCGGCACTTAGGTTTCACTTTACAGTTTTGTTTTCTGAGAACCATTGCATTTCTCATAAATCACGTGTGCACAGGAAGTAGGCTGGAAGGAGCTACCGCATGTATAAATTGGAGTGTTGGGTTAGAGAGCGGGATAATAAAAAAAAGAATTGAATTCGCTAGCTGCATTTTGTCTCGTTGTCCCTCATTTTAATCCTCAGCCCTTCTCTTCTCGTGCCTCTGATTCCCGGGGGTCGGGACAGTAAAGGCCACACTCACTGCATCTGTAAAGTCTCTCTCCAGAATGTGCCCAACTTTTGATCTTTGTGCAGACTCTTTGCCACACACATTATTTGTGTGATTCCTCTCCCAGATGCTTCACTTTTATCCAGTGAAGAGTGAGCAAACTTTGCTATATCCGTCACATCTGTGAGTATGAATGATTAGGTGAGCCTTGAGTTTAAGACAATACCTAGAAGCCTCAAGTCACCCAATACATTTGAAGGCTTCTCTCCACTATGAGCAACCTGAACATTGGTGTGGTGTGAACCTAAGTAAAGGTTGTATCACACTCCTGGAGTGAAATGCTTCACTCCAGAATGAACTCTTTGGTGAGCCATGAGGTCATCCCATTGCTAAAAGGCCTTGCCACATTTGTGCGGTTTCTCCCCATATAAATCAGTTCACAAAGAATAACCTGCTAGAGGCTGTGGAACATTCACTAGGTTTCTAAAGTCTCTTGCCAGTGTGGATCACGTGTTTACTTAAGCGTGAACGCTCACTGCAGGATTTCCCACAATCATTGCATTTGGAAGGTTTCTTGCCATTATGAACTCTCCAGTGACTTACAAAGTGTGAATTTCAGTCAAGACTTTGCCACCTGTCACGCGATTTCTCTCCACATGGATTACCTGATGTGCACTTACTGGTGAGCCCCAAGTGAAGGCTTTACCACACTCTTACGCCTCTCCTACAAGACTGGCAACTTGCGAGACTCGTGTTTCAACTAAAGCCTTTGTCGCACTGATTCCAGTCACAAGCTTTCTCTCTAGTATGAATCTTTGGATGTTCAAACAGATTTGCTCTTTGGATAAAAGCTATATCCACATTATATTTGTATGGTTTCTCCCCAGTATGTGTTCTCCGATGCTTTGCTAAACTTGAATTTTGACTAAAGACCTTGCCACACTCATCACATTTGTAAGGTTTCTCTCCTGTATGAATTCTCCTGTGCTTTGTAAGGACTGCATTCAACCGAAACACTTTGCCACAGTCAGTACACTTGAAGGGCTTCTCTCCAGTGTGTATTCTCTGATGAATTGCAAGGTTGAAATTTTGACTAAAGTCTTTGCCACACTCATTACATTTGTATGGCTTCTCTCCATTATGAATTCGCCGATGCTTTGCAAGGCTTGAATTCTGACTAAAGACCTTGTCGCACTCACTACACTTGTAAGGTTTCTCTCCTGTGTGAATTCTCTGGTGATTTGTAAGGAGTGAATTGCGCCTAAATACTTTGCCACAATCATTACATTTGAAAGGCTTCTCTCCAGTGTGAATTCTCCGGTGAATCGCAAGGTTAAAATTCTGAGTGTAGACTTTGCCACAGTCATTACACTTGAATGGTTTTTCTCCAGTATGCGCTCTCTGATGACTCACAAGGAATGAATCTTCAGTGAATACTTGGCCATACTTGCTACATTTGTAAGATTCCTCCCCAATATGAACTCTTAGATGATTTGTAAGGTCTGAATTCCTACTAAAGACCTTGCCACATACATCACATTTATATGGTTTTTCTCCCATGTGGATAATCTGATGTGTACTGAGTTCTGTGCCCCGAATAAAGGCTTTACCACACTCATGACATTTAAAAGGTTTCTCTCCAGTATGAATTCTCCGATGCTTTGCAAGGTGGGAATTTCGACTAAAGACTTTGCCACACTCACATTTGTATGGCTTCTCCCCAGTATGAATTCTCCGATGACTTTCAAGGTCTGAATTTTGACTAAAGGCCTTGCCACACTCAAGACATTTGTAAGGTTTTTCTCCAGTGTGGACTCTCTGGTGCTTTGCAAGACTTGAATTCTGACTGAAGACTTTGCCACACACATCACATTTATATGGTTTCTCTCCTGTGTGGATTACCTGATGTCGAGTGAGGTGTGATGCCTTAGTAAAAGCTTTGTCACACGCATTACACGCAAAAGGTTTCTCTCCAGCACGAATTCTTTGGTTAATCCTGATGTTAGTCCACTCCCTAAAGGCCTTGCTATATTCATTCCATTCATGTGGATTCTCTTCCGGATGGGTTCCCGGTCTACTGAGGTGGGAGTACTGGTAAGTTTTGCCACACCTGTTCCATTTGTAAAGGTTTTTCCTCTGTGCATTCTGGACTCGTGTCTGTCCTGAAGGTGGTGTTAAATCATTCCCATACATATTACAAATGTTGGTTTGGACAGTAGGAGGAATACTTTGAAATGGTGAGACTGAGGAATTGTTGTTGGTAAGCTCAGCTTGATTACATTCATAAAATTTCCCTTCAAGGTGAAATATTTGCAGATCTTCCCGAGAGCTTACCCTAAGCCCATTCTCAGTAGGCTCACTTCCTGCATCCATCCCTTCATGCTGCTCCTTTTCACACATTAGATTGTTTCTGTGGGTCACAGGGCCTCTGTAATTTATTTCATCATCTTGCCACTGAGAGTAAAAGTCATGTATATTTTCCCAGATTTGTCGGAAGTAAAAATCTTTGACTTCGTTGCTTTTGTAGCTTTCCAACATCAGTGTGCGGAATACTTGTCCCGTATTACTGTGCTCTTTTGTTTGCGATTTCTTTATTCCATATGCATGAGCGTTATCTTGAGAGATAGCTATAAGATATAAAAAGCATAGATATGCTATTAGTTTGTAAATTAAATATTCATACTGAAAACATGACAAAAAAAGGTAATTCTTGACTCAGCAGACTCATGAAACTTCCCAACCTAATCTTCAAGGTTTTTTTTTGTTTTGTTTTGTTTTTTTTTAAGATTTATTTATTTATTTATACAAGCACTGGGTACAGTCAGAAGCGCGGGAGGGTGAGAGAATTCACCAGAGCCAGAAAGGGAACAGAACAGGCAGAAGGACCAAAGTACACTGCTGAGGGGAGCAGCAGGCGGCAGGAGAGGTCTGCGCACCATGTGGGACCCTCCTCCGGTAGCTGGGGAGCAGCCGGGGATGGAACCGGCGCTGCAGAGGCTTCAGGCAGCTTCGCAACCCAGAGCTCAACCACTGCGCCACCGGGGAGGCCCCTAATCTTCAAGTTTTTAAGTAAACTAACAGAATAAAATTCTTCACGAACAAGAGAGAGTCATCATATTACCCAAACTAACTTAGGGTAGCCTGGGATTGATCATCTTATTTGCGCAAAACACTCATATCACACAAATTCATGTCAGCTCTTAGGGAAAGGCCTTCATCAAGCATGACCTGAAACTACATTCCATTCAGCAGTAAAGACACAGGACTGATCCAGTCAGTGGACGCCGAGGACCTGGTGCATTTCCTAGGAAGTTCAGATGGAAAGAAAAGCTGGGAACAAAATAGTTCTGTCTGCCCTAAAGTATAGAATTTCCAGAACCTTAGACCTTGCAGAAATTACAGATGTTACCAAAAAAGCAGAGAAGCCTAGACGTGCAAGAAATAGGCTAACTTTCCTGTATAATAGAGAGAGATATTCTCTTATTAATTCACTATACCAACACAGATATGATGAACCTAGACAGGGAGAGCAATTATTAGAAGACAGCAGTTATCCAAGAAATAAAAACTGAGTGAAATCCACACAAAACACAGGTAATCATGTGTAGGAAACAGAAAACGCACTGCAGAAAAAGTAATGAATCTTACGAACAAATCATGGCAAAAGAATTTAATGGTATTATTAACCTAGTTGGTATAACTGATACAGGCAGTAAATTCAATGTTCCCAAGAAATCAAAAATTACCAATTTTAAACTATAAAAATTATGACAAAAGTGCAATTTAATATTATGTACTTTAAAAGCTGAAAGAGAAATAGAATGAGAAATTAGTATTATCTTTACAAAATATTCTGGAGTTGTGTAGGATTTAGGGAAACGATCATGAAGTTGCACTCCCTACACGAAAGAAGGAAACATCTGGTCCCCAACCAACAGTCTGATACTCCGTGAATGCAAAGCAGTAGAACACGAAGGGTATCATCTAAGAACACTAAGAGTATCATCACTAAGCAGAACACTAAGAGTATCAACCAATGATGGCGCTGAAGATGAAAGAGAGGGAAACCAGACTCAATTAGAAAGCACAGAAATGTACACAGTGAAAGAAGCAGTGACTTAAACAAGGCCCAGGACAGCAGCAGACGTCACTCGTGGCACCCCCCAACTTCACAAGCTCCCTCATTAGGGTGTTTCAAAGCCGCACCCACCGCAGCAGGATGAACAGGGCACACGGAGGCTCGGGCAACAGTCTGGTCAGCAGCCGTGGAGAGGGAGGACGCGAACTGGGAGTCTCCCCCAGGCAGACGCGCCCTTCCCATTACTGTGGCCCAAGGGGGTGATCGTTAGCATCTGGGATCAACACCTTCAAGGTCCCTTGAGAAATGCTTTTGTGATACTTGTCAAAACCGGTAAAACTGCACGCTGTGATGATGCTTTCTGTCTCCCATCCCGGGCCACGCTGACCACTCTCTGAGAAGCTTCCAGTTGTGTCTGGGTGCAGCTGGATAACATTACAATGGATTAGCCATGGTATTCTGTATCAACTTGAGTTACTACTCCCACTCAACAGTGGATGAACATGGCCAAAATGTGGGATGCAAGCTCAGAAGCGAGGAGTGTGTATTTCCAAAGCAAGTTTCAAAGGCAAAAAGCATGAAAACAGGAAGTCTATATTCCCAGAAAAGGCAGAGGGATCAAAAAAGCAGCAAGACAAGATGAGGGCCTGGGTCTACCCTCTGGGGAGGAAGCCACACCCCGAAAGAGCAGGAGCTGCTTCCCAGTAAGACCGAGACCGAAGACCAGCTCTCTTTTGCCCCGTCTGCAGTTTCGTCACAGCACTGTTACACACACACCCCACGTGAGGCAAGGGGAGGACAGAAGAAATCAGTGGCTGTGGGGCCAGGATGGGAGACTGGCCTGGAGAGAGCTCCCTTCAGTTTCTGGGGCATAAGGAGGAAAGGAAGGGCGGCAGGTTTTCCCACCTCCTGATGGGGCCTCCACACATGACCATAGCCGGCGTGGAGTCAAGACACCGGGTAACAGAGCCGTGGATCTGGCTAAAGACCTTGCCCTCCTCTTGGGGCAGTGGCAGTGCCTCTGGGCGCCAGGGTAAAGTTCTGAGGAACAAGAGGGATAAGCTAAGAGGAGAACAGTAGTTTCCTGTGAGAATTCTGTACAAAACTTGTTTCTCACAGAACTATCCCACACAGGAGCTTCCCATATGCCATTAACAGTGCAGCTTCTTCTCTGCCTTTCTGAGCTCTTACCTGGGCTCACGCCTTCCTTGTTTTCCCACACATCTGGTTTGCTCACTATTTTCATTTCGCTCTCCAGAGTGCAGAGCTCCTTCCCTTGATCCACAAAGGAGACAATACTCAGATCACAGACAGACATTCCTGCTGGTAGGAAGAAAGGAACATAACACAGTGGCTTTTCCAGAATTCCCATTCTTTGTTCTGCTGAGGGGAGAGGACATTACAGATAGCTCTAAAAAAAGTACTGAACAAATCGGGCCTCCCCTGGTGGCGCAGTGGTTGAACACTGGGCTGTGAGGCTGCCCGCAGCCTCTGCAGTGTGGGTTGGTTCCCTGGCCACCGGTGAGGGTCCCACAAAAAAAAAAAAAAAAACTGAACGAATCACTGCACTACGTACCTCCTGAATGGATGGGGGAATAGATATGGCAGCTCTCTGCCAAGATCACTGAAGCAAAAGTAGAGGGGAGGGGCAGCCCTGGTGGCGGAGGGGTTAAGTCTCAGCGCTATCAGGCTGTCTGCAGCCTCTGCAGCACGAATTCAATCCCCGGCCAGGGCGCTGACCCACAGGGCGCAGCAGATCCCTCCTGTCTCCCTGCTGCTCCCCTCAGCAGTGGATTTCAGTAGATCCACCTATTTTGCCCCACTCTGTCTCTGGTGAGTCCTTTCACCCCTCCACCTCTGGCCTACACCCCAGTTCTTGTATGCATAAATAAATAAGTATTTTTTTAAAAAATGTACAGAGGAGAAAACAGGAAACTGGATATTTTGAGAGTGCCACAGGACTCTAGAAACAAGTAGAATCCAGGGCAACCCCTGATGTAGCATGTAGAGGGCAGGTCCTCTGAAGAAAGGTTAAGTTTAATGTCCAGATGCCACCCATGAAGCTGTGAGTCTGAGTCAGTAGGGCCTTAGCAGCAAGCAAGCAAGCCAGGGGCTCTGAAGAGGCACAGGAGGGCAGACGCAAAGTTACCCAAGGTGGGGTCTCCTCACCCAGGGAGAGCAGGTTCCTGCAGGTCTCCAGCATCACGTCCCTGTACAGCGCGCGCTGAGCAGGCCCCAGGCATGCCCACTCCTCCTCGGAGAAGTCGATGGCCACGTCCTTAAAGATTAACAGTCCCTGAAAAACACACACACTCTCATGAAAGAGGGACCATGAGGTCTTCACGTCATGGAAAAGGAGATGTGTGTGATGGGAAATGGCCGTGAGTCCTCTGGCAGAGCCACTTACAGGTGTTTTGACTCTTTCTTCCTCCTTTTCCTAATAAACATGTCCTTTTAGACTGTAAAAAAATAAGTAAGTATAAGTATTTTGAGTAAGCTATGTGTCTGAGAACAGCAACGTGCCCCTCCGTTAAGCTTTGCCCTGTTCATCCTAAAGGTGGTCGACGGCTCCCTAGGGTGAGACCTGCTCCCTCCACACGTAGGAGGAAACCACCACAGACACTCTCAGGGATTCGGCTCAGTGAGCGCTCAGCAGGGGCCCTACGAGCACCAGAACCTGGGTGGTCCAGTTTCAGGATGGAACTTAAAGAATGAAACGGTGACACAACCCATAGAAAAAGAGGGCTGCCTCGCCCACAGACATGAACAAGTTCAAGGTCAGTCACAGGGACTTAGGGGGAGGCTCCCGTGGAAGGCAGAGGGGCAGGAAGGCGAAGAGTCATGAGGAAAAAGGAGGACCATGCAGGAGGGAGCCCGCAAAACAGCAAAGGAAAATGTGTGGACATGAGAACAGACTCGAGGGGGAAGAACAAGGTATTCCTGAGAGGGTTTCTCACAACAGCGTGATTCACTTCTCCAATGATTCAGGAATGGCTCTCTCCCCATTGCAGAGCAGAGGCCTCTAGAAAAGGTCCAGATGAGCTGCTAGGGTAAGCATGTCTGCCTGTGTGGGTCCAAAGGCAATTTGAAAAGCTGGATTTATGAATAAGGTAAATTTATCAATAAGGCAAACATGTACGTGGGCAAAGATTTCCATTTGCAGGGAATACTCATGACACCTAAAAATGTTGTCAATGCTTTTTTTGTGTCATATTTTTCAAAAATATTAGTCAAATGGAATTGCCTAAAAGGGCACTCGTTACAGGGCCTTCCTGGTGGCACAGGTGGTTGAGCGCCGCACTGTGAAGCTGTCCACAGCCTCTGCAGCACAGGTTCGATCCCAGCCGGCTGGCGAGAATCCCACATGGTGCAGCAGACCTCTCGTCTCACCTGCTGCTCCCCTCATCAGTGTGTTTCGTCACTCTGCCTGTTCTGTTCCCCACTCTGTCTCTGGTGAATCCTCTCACCCTCCCGTGAATTTGGCCTGTACCCCAGTTCTTGTATAAAAATAAATCAATATTTAAAAAAAAAAAAGGCACTCGTTACAGATGCAGGGGCATAGTATGTACTACGGTTACTACTATTTAGATTATTCATGTGTAGAAAGGATTTTATGCCATAGAAAATATTTAAATATGATTTCATTTGTGAAATAATATAAAACGTACTTATGAGATGATATCTTAATAAAAACCATGGATTTGCACATGTATGTCTTCATATACACACATACAGAATTCAAGAGAGACAAAGGTTTTCTCTCAATTATGTATTGGTTGGATGGTTTTCACTGTCATTTTTATACACGTATCTTAACATGTCTGGGACAATGGAAATGTATAAATTATGCCTAATCTATATCAATAACTATAGCAAAAAAAAGGCTATAGTAAAAAAAGTACACACATGAAGAACATATAGGATATCTTAATTCAAATTCCTATAAAACACATACAATTGATGAATATCTAATCCCATCCATTAAGCTTAGATATGCAGGCATTAATAAAGCCAAACATATTGAAAAGTTTATTTCAATAGCAGTGATTCAAGATTACAAAAGCTACTAGTAGTAGGCATAATTTCGCAGATGAAGATCAAAAAATTATCAGAGTGTTAGATACCTAAAAAATGATTGAATCATTAAAAATCATGACAAGGGCCTCCCCAGTGGTGCAGCTATTGAGCACTGGGTTGTGAAGCTGCCCTGCAGCCTCTGCAGCACCAGTTCGATCCCTGGCTGCTGGCAAGGGTCCCACATGGCGTGCGGACCTCTCCTGCTGTCCACTGCTCCCCTCAGCAGTGTACTTCGTCAGTCTGCCTGCTCTGCTCTCCTTTCTGGCTCTGGTGAATTCTCTCACCCTCCCGCACTTCTGACTGTACCCAGTGCTTGTATAAATAAATAAATAAATCTTAAAAAAAAAAATAACGACAAAAGCAAACAAGAGGTAGGGCCTCCCTGGTGGTGCAGGGGTTAAAGTTTCAGTGCCATCAAGCTATTGCCAGCCACTGTGGCCTGATTTTGATCCCTAGCCAGGGAGGTGACCTACATGGCGCAGCAGACCTCTCCTGCCTCCCCGCTGCTCCCCTCAGCAGTGTCTTCGTGTCTTCGGTCCATCTGCCTGTTCTGCTCCCCGCTCTGTCTCTGATGAATTCTCTCACCCTCCTGTACCTCTGACCTGTAACCCAGTTCTTGTATAAATAAATAAAAATCTTTAAAAAAAAGAGCATACAGTGATAAATACATTAAAAGAGGAAAGCTTTCAAATCAGAAATCTGATTTTAAATCTCAAGAAGATAAAGAACAAAGCAAACCTAAATTCAACACATAAAATTGAGAAAGATTATAGCAGAGATTTAAGAAACAGAGAATAGAAAAAGAATATAAAAGTCAACAAACCAAGAGCTATCTTTTTGTAAAGGTTAAACTGAGAAACCCTTATATAGACTAAGAAAAACAGACAGATAATTCAACAAATAAGACCAGAAATAGAAAAGAGGACACTGTGATATTACAGAAATTCTTAAACCAGGAATAGGAGAGACTACTATGATCATAAACTAGACGATACAGGTATATTCCTAGCAACATATAAGATCTAATCACGAAGAAAGAAAAATGTGAGGAAAATTAGAAAGAGATCCAAGCGGTAATCAAAAACCTTCCACAAAGAACATCTCAGAACCTGATGATGTCACTGAAGAGAGATGCCAAACATTTACAGAAGAGTCAACACTAATCTTCCAATGAACTGAAGGGGGGAAACTTGCAAAAACATTTTATATAAGTTTCGTGATTCTGATAACCAATACAGAAAAAGACAGAAGAAGAAAACATTTGATAAAGTTCAGTGACCTTTCAAGAAAGGTGTAAGAGGGCCTCCCTGGTGGCGCAGCGGTTGAGCACTGGGTTGCGAAGCTGCCCACAGCCTCTGCAGTGCCGGTTCGATGCCCGGCTGCTCCCCAGCCACTGGAGGAGGATCCCACATGGCGCGCAGACCTCTCCTGCCACCCGCTGCTCCCCTCAGCAGTGTGCTTCGGTCCTTCTGCCTGTTCTGCTCCCCGCTCTGGCTCTGGTGAATTCTCTCACCCTCCCGCACTTCTGACTGTACCCAGTGCTTGTATAAATAAATAAATAAAATAAAATAAATCTTTAAAAAAAAAAAAAAAGAAAAGAAAGGTGTAAGAGTTAACTACCTCAACATAATAAAAACCATCTATGAAAAGCACGGAGTTAATATGAATCTCCGTAGGGACAGATGGCAAGCTTTTCTTCTAAGACCCACAAGGCGTAAGGAGGCACTCTCTGCACTACTATTACTATTTAACGGAATATGGGCAGTCCTACCCCAAGTAATCAGACAAGAAAAGGAAAGGAAAATCAGTCAAATTGGCAAAGAAGTAAGATCCTCTGTTTTCCCCAGATGACAAGCTCTCATACAAAACCAAATAGATTCCACGAGAAAACTGTTACAACTCAAATATGATTTTAGACAAGTTTCAGCATATGAAATCAGCTCATAAAAAACAGTGGTGTTTCCATATACGAACTGTGAACAATCTGAAGAGGAAATGAAAGCAAACAATTTTGTTTACTAGGACACCAAGGATGAAATACTTGGGAATAAACTGAGCTAAGGAGGTGAAAGACTAGTACACTGAAAACTACAAAATGTCATCAAAAGAAATTAAAATAAATAGAAAGACATCCTGTAGCATGAAATGGAAACTTAAATCTGTAACCACAATGTTCTAGAGACAAAACTGAATCCCTATGCAAATTCTAAAGGGCAATGCTTACAGAAAGAGAAAAATACATGACAAAATTCACATGCCCTCTCAAGGGGCTGGACCCAAAACAGCCAAAACACTTAAAAAAATAAAAAAGGAATTGAGAGACCTCACGTCTTTAGATTTCAAAACATACTACAAAACAAGAGTCATCGAGATGGCGTGGTGCTGGCAGAAACGCGGACACATAAACCAACAATGACGCAGGCGACAGTGTGCAGACACAGACCAGCGTATTCGAGAGGACAAAGGGCTTTTCAGGAACACAACCTCACCTGAGAAGGGTCCATCCCTGTCACTGCCTCCTCTCTGGGCAACGAGGGTCTTTCACAGTCAATCCTGAGAGTTAGAAAGAAGCTGTTTAGTGTCCAGAGTTGCTGTACCCCCTTCCGGAGCTGCTGCACACACTGGGAGGCCCTCACCACTACGGGTAATATTTTGAGGCCCCTCCATGGTGTTTTCCATAAAGAATGCGCCGGTTTTCATTCCCATCAATGGCACACAGGGTTCCTTTTTTCCACACCCCGACTGACACTTGTCATGTCTTTTGCTCACAGCCAGCTTCACAGGTGCGATGCCACACGCATTCCGGCACTGCCCCCCCCTCCCCAGACCTGTCACCACAGCCCAGGAGTTGGAAGAGGAAGGAGCAGACACAGGCGAGCAGACATGACCGGGCAGAGGTGGGCAAGAGGGTGCAGCTGCACTGTAATGGGAGGGGGTGAGAAAGTCTCCAGGAGCTGTGATGTCACAACAAAGGCCTGGGGAGGAGGCTGTCACAGTGAGCAGAGACCCCAGGCCCTGGGGCTGAGGGAGGCCAGCCGGAGGAGCTCTCGTCCCTTTCTTGCAGGGACTCAGCGGGAAGAGACTCAAGGTCATTGAGAAAAAATGGAAGAGGATGAGTTAGACTTCCGAGGGGCTGCAGAGGCGAGTTTGGAGAGGACAGACAGCGAATGAGAGGAGCAGAGGAAGGGATTCGACAGGAGTCGGGTCGGTGTGGGGCTCACGGGCCTCCAGCTGTCATCTGCCACGGGGACAGGGACGGTTGGCTCTGGGGCTGCAAGGAGGCAGGGGGTACACAGAGAATGGCACGTCAGCCCCGTGCTGCGGGCACCGGATGTGCGTGGGATGGGCCGCATGGGAAGGCCGTCTGACTCAGTCAGTGAAAAATAATCTGGAAAATTAGGGGAGTTTCTCCCAATGGTCCGCCACTCCTAGCCCCGGCGCAGACAGCACGGCCGACACGCCAGAGGCCGCTAAGTGAATAAAACACAAAGTCAACAGAGAGCACCCCGCGAGCAGGGGCTTCACTCTGAGGGACTGATGTGCAGGGGTCCGCCACACTGGGATGGGGAAAAGGGGGCTGAGCAGGAGCAGTCGCTGAGGGTAGAGCCAAGGGCCCTTCGCCTGGTAAATGTGCACTCCCAGGAGAGCAGAAATAGAATGAGGAGTCATCAACGCACAAAAAAGTGCAAAGAGTTAAGTTATTGTACAGCAAAAATTCCACACAATGTTCCTTTTAAATGGCGGCCTCTAGGGGCCTCCCTGGTGGCCTAGGGGTTAAGTCTCTGCAGCATTATGACCAGGGAGGCCTGAGTTTGATACCTGGTCAGGGAGCTGACCCACAGGATCTCCTGCTTCTCCACCTCTCAGCTCAGCAGTGTATTTCAGTAGCTCTGACTGTTCTGCTCCCCACTCTGTCTCTGGTGAGTCCTCTCACCTCTGCACCTCTGGCCTACACCCTAGTTCTTCTACAAATAAATATTAAAATAAATGGCACCCTCTAGTGACAGAGTCCTCTCCCCTCCAGCCCTCACCCCTGCCCAAGAAAAAGGAAGAGGGGTGACCCAACACTCACAGAGACCAGTCACTGTGCCCTGGCTGAAGAGGAAGTGCAAATGCAAGGTCTCTTCAGGTACAAATGATTACGGACAGGATGGCTGCCATTCTCCCCCTCACCTGTGTACAGCAGTCAGATTTGCTTTCTGTGGTTTCTTGATCATGAAGGTTGGAAGTATCAAAGGGAAAACTGAGATGTGGGTCAGAAGGTCAAAGCAGCGGAGAGCAGGTCGGCCTGCCTGCTATGCACCTCCTTCACCTCACCACACAGGCCACAGGCGCTGCCTCAGCTCAGTCATCCAAGGGCCAGGGGAGCACAGCAAGATGCTTCAGGAGACAGAGTGTGTGCAAGTGGCCATTCCACTGACCTGACTGCAGTATATTGCTATAACTGTTCTATCATTAGTTGTTGCTGTCAATCTTTTACTGTGCCTAACTTATAAATTAACGTCAGCCTGGCCATGCGTGTGTAACGAAAGTGACGACATATGAGATAGAAATACTCTGTAGAGTGGATAAGGTAATAATGGGTGTCCGTCCTTGGTTTCAGACTTGGGGGTGGAGGGCCTTGGAATGTATCTTTTCCCGGTAAGGGGCTGGGGGTGGGGGGCGCAACTGCAGTTGAAGCAAAATTTAAACGATTGGCTCATTGAAAGGAAAAGCCTGTTATTTCTTCCACTGTAGGGAATAACCCAGTTGCTCCTACCTCGTGACTCTACGACTCACACAAAACACTTCACTTCTGTGACTTGAGGCCACCAAGCGCGGAGGTTCCCCCACATCCAGGTCCGAGCCCCGGGCGGGGGCCGAGTCCACACACCGGACACCAGTCACCGCCCGGGTCCTCACCCGCGCCCGGTGGCGCCCTCGGCGCCTACCCTCCCCCACGCACCCCGGGGCCGCCCCGCGCCGGCCTGCTCTCCCGCTCGGGCTGTCTGCAAGGCCCCCCCCCCCGCGGCCTGTTCCCCCGCCTCCCCAGCTCGCGGCCCCGCCCACACAGCTGGAAGGCGTGGGGTGCAGGAAGAAGCCGGAGCGGCACCGTTTCCGCCGGGTGGGGCGCGGAAGAACGCGGGGGGCCCCGCTCCCAGGTCGCCAGCCCGGCGGGCGCGGCAGGGGCCGGGCGGGAGGATGGCGGCGCGGCGCGGCCGGGGAGCGGACCCCGCGGGGAGCTTCACCCGCCGCGGCGCGGCCGGGGCGTCAGCGGCGCTCAAGGCCGCCCCGGCAGGACGGCCGCGGCGGGGCCCGGCCGAGAGCCATTTTCAACCCAGAGCAACGCGGGTCGCGGGCCTCTCACCGCATCGTCCGAAGCTTCTCGGGGTGGAGGGGCGGCGCGGGGCTTCTAAGGCCGCGAACGCCGGCCGCGCGCGCGAGCACCGAGCTGGGCCGGGGAGACGGAGACTCGCGCGCGGCCCCGGGCCTCCGCCCCGCGCTCTCCGCTTCCGGGTCTGCCGGGGACGGCGCGTGCGCGGGCGGGGAGGCGGGGCCTGAGCGGACCGTTCTCCGCCCAAGGGGCGGGGCTTGGGGAAGCCCGGGCGGAGCCCAACCCCGGGGGCGGGGTTTGAGGACGCCTGGGCGGCACCGGGGCCGCAAGGAGCGGAGCGCGAAGGGGCGGGGCCTGAGCACCCACGCACGTCAGGCCAGGCCGTTTCTTCTTCCGGTTTGCAAAGACTGGAGGGGCATTTGGGGGCTGCTGGAGCACCGTGATTTCCGCTCACTTCAAGTTAATATTTCCAAACTTTTTGGGGTACAAGCTAGAGTCGTTGGGGCCCTCCTGTTGGGAACTGAGATGCGCAGAAACGGCGTCGGCCGGAAGCTGCCTGGCCAGGCCTCAGACGCTCGGCCCCTCAGCAGGGTCTAGTCAGACCCCGGCACCTGAGCTTCAGCGACATCAACAGCCCTTGGCCTCTGACCTCCCAGCCCGCTCTCCTCCCCGCACTCCTGATGAAACCGCGACCCCAGCTCTCCGCGCCCCCTCATGCCCTCCCCCCTCACCCCGCCACACCTCTATCCCGCCCACAAGCCCTGACTCCCCAGCACGCGCCCTCCCTTGGGGGCAATGCTCCCAGCGGAATTAAGGGCTGCGCGTCCTATAAACACTGCCCGTGCTGGGGGCGCCGACCAGAGAATACAGAATCGCCACCTGAGGCTTAGAGGAGTCTGGGCTGCACCCGCTCCCCATCCACTCATGTCCGGAGACGCCCACAGCATGGGAAGAGCGGCGTGATGAGGGTGGGGGCGTGAGTGCACGTGAACGTGGTTATAAACGCCAGCGTGTGTGAACGTTCATACAGGTGTGCGTTGGCCTTTACACGCGTGATGGTGGGTGCGAACGCAGATGCGAATACTATTCGCACGCGTCCGGTGTGAGCATTCCTTGGGGGTGCGACTGACCCTGTGCAAATGTCTCTCAGTGTTTGTGTGCGCGCGCACACGCGGGACTGCAGATTTCAGTCCGTCAGAGGCGTTCATGTGTCTGAACAGCTGTGAGTTGTGTGTGTGCAGCGATGTGTCACCTTCCGGGCAGGTAATGAATGAAACTAGACCAAACAGGTCTCAGGTGCTTTGGGTAAACACCTGGCAGTAGTAATGCTGGTTCATATGGTGTTTCCCATTTTCAATTTTTTTAAGATTCATTTATTTATGATCACAAGAGCTGAGATGTAGGCGGGGTGGGGGTGAGAGGACTCACCAGAGGGAGTGGGGAGCAGAACAGGCGGAACTACTGAAATCCACTGCTGAGGGGACAGCGGGGAGACAGGAGGGGTCTGCTGCGCCATGTGGGTAGCTCCCTGGCTGGGATCAAACTCCTGCTGCAGAGGCTGCGGACAGCTTCATAGTGCTGAGACTTAACCCCTTGCGCCACCCGGGAGGCTCCCATTTTCAATTTTTTTCAGGAATCTCAAAACCATTATCCAGGCAGCCTGCACCAAATTACATTCTCCCCAGTAGTAAAGGAGCGCCCTGAGTATAGGTAAATTCTCTGACCTACTAACAGTCACTGACAGAGAGAACGAGGGTAAAGTATTAGAGTAAATCCGTGTCATCATTGCCTATGACTTGAGGTCTTTCAACCATTCATTCCAGGGCCTGAGCCCTCAGGCCTCTGCCCAGCGTGCCTTGCAGGCTGCACTCGGTGTGTGGTGTGAGTCACTCCTGTGGGTGACCCTCTCAGTGAGCACAGCCTCCCCGCGACGCCCCAGCTCCTGCAGCTCCTGCTGTTTATTCTGGGGCCCTTCCCGGGAGCTCTGTCTGCCCCCAGGGCCCAGGGAAGCAGGGTCTCCCCAACGCCCCGCGTCTCTGGACACCGCTGAGGACCCTGAAGTTGTTCTTGGCAATTAGCAGCAGGAAAACTTTTCCCGACTCTTCTGAGCTCCCAGGCCTGTCACTGCCCGGGCAGCTCCAGGGGACACGATAATTGCAGCTCTGGGGGGAGGGGTCCCAGAGGCACACACTATATCTCGGGGTGCGCTGGGCCTGGCACACACACAGGCTGAGCCCTTGCCCTGAGCCAGCGCCCAGGTGGCAGGAAGCCGGTGAGTCTGCTCTGTGCTCACGGGGGCAGGGGTGCAGGAGGGACACGGGTAGGAGGGGACCCACTCCTGGAGCCAAATGTGGGCAGGCATCCCCTGAGCTAGTGATGACAGCGGGGTGTGGGGCCCCCACCCCTGAGGGCACCTGGTGCGGGTTTGGGCTCTCCATCAACAGGGGCTATGGGGCCAGGCAGCCCAGGAGGATCCTGACTCTCCTGACCTCAGCACGGTGGTTCTGGGGCCTTGTTGGGGCCGGCTGCCCTGCAGGGAGCTGGAGTTTTGGAGAGCGCCTGTTTACTCTGCATGCGGAGTCCCAGGACATTACAAGTTCTGCAAACAGAACTTCTTCCCAGAACTGACTCCTGTTCTCTGAGGACGTGCTGGCTTGTGCGCATGTTCCCCACTAACCAGGAAAGCTTGCTTTCAGTAGTAACTTATTCATCTTAATTATTAGTAAATTATTAAGCAAAAACACAGTTGCGGGCTATGTTCTTGTTCCTTTGTTCATATCTTTACAGAAGCTCGGGCTGGCAGAGTGAGAGGCAGAGCTGCTCTCGATGGCTCCCCCCTGCCTCCCCCTGCTGCAAATTCATTTAGACTTCAGTCTTCCTTAATGGCAGAGAACTTCCTCTGCTGTCCTGTTGAGGCAGGGCCTCTTGCTGCTCAGCCTCCTCAGGAGGGGCCCTGGCCTGATGCCCGGGCCATGGGGCGTCTAGGGGCCTCCCTGCTGGTGAGACAGCGCCGGGGGCTCCACGGGTCTCTGGTCCTGGCAGAAAGCCCGTCAGAGCCGGTGGGGAGGAGACGGTCCCCGACACAGCGGGTGAGGGACGCCGCGGGCAGCGTTCATGGGCCCCCACTATAGAAAGACTTTCCTCCCTTAATGTTGGGACAGCAGCACTTAAGGAAAGTAAAGCTGCTGGTTGCAGATGTTTTCAGTTTGAAAGTTTGTGCTGCTTCTCCATGTTATATTCCCAGTCACTATGAACATCATTTACTCGGTTGGCATCATTTACTCTGTGCCTGTACCTTCCCTTCACACTTGGTTTCGTCTTTTTTTTTTTCTCCAAAAAAGATTTATTTATTTAGGCATAAAAGAGCTGGGGTACAGGCAAGAGGTGCAGGGGCGTGAGAGGATTCACCAGAGACAGAGTGGGGAGCAGAACAGGCAGACTGACTGAAATCCACTGCTGAGAGGAGCAGCGGGGAGACAGGAGAGGTCTGCTGTGCCGTGTGGGTAGCTCCCTGGCTAGAGATGGAACTTGTGCTGCAGAGGCTGCGGACAGCTTCAGTGCTGCGCTTAACCCCTTGGCCACCAGGGAGGCCGCATGCTTGTCTTTTATTCTGTCTCATGACTGGCCGTCCTGGGACCCAGCCCTGCAGCTCAGGTGCCAACAGCAACTGGCTAAGGTTTGTGACCAGGAGCAGCACCTCCCTGTGCTTTTATCCATCGGCTGTGCTTCCAGCCCTGGTGCTCGGGCGTGCAGCTCCTGGAGGGGGCCAGAGGCTCTGCTGTGCTCCTGCCCTGCTGTCCTGCCGCTCTGCACCTGCCAGGCTCACAGAGCCCAGGACACCCTGTAGCCCGTGCTGGGGGCTCCCTGGTCTCCGTAGCTTTAAAAATGTGTGGAACTGTCGGGTCTCCCCGGTGGCGCAGCGGTTGAATGCAGCTCTGTGAAGCTGTCTGCAGCCTCTGCAGCACCGGTTCGATTCCCGGCCGACCAGGGAGAACCCCACATGGTGCGGCAGACCTCTCCTACCTCGCCCGCTGCTCCCCTCAGCAGTGTCTTCGCTCGGTCTGCCTGTTCTGCTCCCTGCTCTGGCTCTGGTGGATCCTCTCACCCTCCCACACTTCTGACTGTACCCAGTGCTTGTATACATAAATAAATAAATCTTTAAAAAAAAACTGACTAAGATATTACAATAAAAATAAGTGGAAATTTGTCACTACCTAAGTTAAATCAAGTGCCACGACTCTCACCAGTAGTGACAAAATACACAGTGAAATCTAGTTGTGATTTACCTGGAGACCCGGCTGAGGGGCCCCTGTGAGTGTGGGTCCAGTGTCCTGTGTTGTCCCCGCCCAGCCAGGTGCAGCTCTCCTCTCGGCCCGAACCGAGGAATGAGTCTGGAGAACCAGGATCCCCTGTGTGCCTGTGCGCCCTCCTCTTCATGGGTCTGGAGAGGGCCGCCTCAGGAGTCGTGAGGAAGGAAGTTACCTTGCCTGGGGCCCTTCAGAGCCATGAGTCCTGGTTGTCCGTTCAGCCACTGAAAGTCTATAAAGGATGAGCGCCTTTACGTGAGGCAGAGCTGTGGGAAGGACAGGGCTGCAGCTGACAGTATCCGGAGGCTGTGACTTGGCTTCTCGGGCAGGCTCCTCCGGCTCAGGAGGCCTTTTCAGCCGCTGACAACTGACAGGATGGACACCCGGGATTTGGTGGTTGGGACTGTTCTGTTATTAAAAAGTATAATCGGGCTTCTGGGGAATCTCTCTCTCCTTTCCCATCAGCTCTTCCTCTACCTCACCGGCTGTAGGCCGAGGGCCACAGATTTGGCTGTCAAGAACCTGATTGTGGCCAATTTCTTGGTCCTGTTCTCCAGTGGAATCTGCTATCCAGTGGAACTGTTCGCATGGTATCATATCTTCACCAACTTTGGTTGTAAATTTTTTCTCTATGTTCGCCAAGTGGGCATGGGCGTGTCCATGGGCACCACCTGCCTCCTGAGTGTGGTCCAGGCCGTCACCATCAGCCCCCAGGGCTCCAGGTGGGCAAGGCTGAGAGAGAAAGCTCCCAGGTGCATCCTCCCCTGTGTCGCCCTGTGCTGGGTTGTAAACCTGCTGGTTAATGTCATCTATCCCGTGTTTTTCTCAAACACTTTGAGTCGCGGGAACATCTCAAACACTAAGAGTTTTGGACACTGCTCTGTGGTTCGCTTTGACCAAATCACAGACTCTTTATTTGCAGCTTTGCTCTCGAGCCCCAAAGTCCTGTGTGTGGGGCTCATGGTCGGGGCCAGCGGCTCCATGGTGTGCACCCTGTACCGGCACAGGCAGCGGGTCCGGCACCTTCAAAGGAGCAGTGCCTCCTCCACGTGCTCCCCGGAGTCCAGAGCCACCCGCACCATCCTGCTGCTGGTGAGCACCTTCGTCTTCTTTTACACCGTCTTCTCCATCTTCCAGCTGTCCTTGACTCTCTTCCACAATCCTGACTTGTTGCTTGTGACTATTACTGCAGTCATCAGCACCTCCTTCCCGGCCATCAGCCCCTTTTTGCTCATGAGCCAGGACCCCAGCGTGTCCAGGTTCTTCTCCGCCTGGAGAAGAAACCTAAAGGCCCCTCATCTGTGAGAAACAGATCACTTGCATAAGTTTGCACACGAGTGTGAGTTTGACCACGGCCTCTGCTCCTCAGCCTTCTAAGTACAGTCCCCAGAGGCTGCCGGAGTAGGGGACCCGCGACAGGCTGAGCCCTGCAAGGAACAGGCAGGACGTTGATCGGACTGAAACGAGAACAATGATCATGAAACACTGGATTCAGTGGAGACCCTCAATCCCCGGCGATGACCTAGGTGGGGGCTTAGGACAGGCATGTGGACGTGGGGCAACAAATGGCAGGTCAGCACTGGGCCCAGGGGCCATCAGCCTGGAGGGCAGATTCCATCAGGGATCAAGATTTTGGGGCTGCTTATGAGATTTGTACATTTCATCCCCACAGAGGCAGACGGACCCACAGTGCTCACGGGACTGAGGGGGCCCTTGGATTTCAAGGAGCAACATAGTCACTTCCTCAACATGTAAAGAGGTTCTTGGTATTTATATTCTAAAATGGATGCAATTGCTGATTTCCAACAATGTGAAGAACAGAAAAAATTACTTGACCAAAAGATCTCTCTGTCCAGATATCTATCACTGATCTGCTATCATCGATCTGTATCTATTGAAGGTTACACAGCAAGAGAAACCCATAATTTAACTTAGATATTTGTCACCAATTAGATGAGGTAGGAAGAGGGGAAAGGAAAATTAGATGTATAGACAGAGAACACACACACCTGTAATTACACGTATCTGGGAGTATGTATATTTGTCGTGTGTGCGTGTTTTGTATTCAATATTATCCAACAATCAATGTGTCAGTTGTACAATGTGAATAGTGTTCATTACTGTAAATGAAAAACTGGTGTATCCATTATAGAAAACTGTAGGGAAATTCTTCCAAATATTAAAAATGGACATTCCATAGAATCTAGTTACTCACTTTTGGATTTTTACTCGCCCGAATACGAAAACACTCATCTGATAAAAACATGCACACACGTGTGTATCGCAGCATTATTTACAATACCGAAGGCCCTAATGGCCACAGATGGATGAATGGATAAAGACGACATGGCACATACACACAGGAATACTACGCAGCCATTAAAAGCGTCTGTGTAAAGACATGTGTGTGTGTGTGTGTGTGTGTGTGTGTGTGTGTGTGTGTGAACACGCGATCCTGCAGGGTTCAGTCTGTCAGATTTGTGCAGATATGTGTGAAGAGCTGTGAGTCGTGTCTGTGCAGGGGGATGGCTTTCCATCCGGGTGGGTAATGAATGAAAACAGATCAATCAGTTGATTTAAGTGGAGGAAAACCTAGAGTTCAATTCAACTCATAATGGATGTTTTTCTGCCCCCACGGCTTATCAGCCATGTATTTATTAACTTAAAGACACCAACGTGCCTTGCTCAGATGTCACCTACAATCACTCGTGGATGTGTGCACTAGCAGCCTGGCCTGGCGAAGGAAGCAGTACTGGCTGACGGGACAGGAGAATGAGTCCCCGGTGGCTCCCAGGGCTGCATACAAGCACGTACAGTCAGAAGCGCGGCAGGTGAGAGATTCACCACAGCCAGAGCGGGGAGCAGAGCAGGCAGAAGGACCGAGTACACTGCTCAGCCAGGTCTGCGCGCCATGTGGGCTTTGAAGCAGAGGCTGCGGGCAGCTGAGAAGGGCCTGCTTTGAGGGGCTCTGAGAACTTTCTCTCTTTTCATCTGCTGATATCAGTTGCTTCTTCTCATATCACCAATAGAGTCAGCATTGGTAAAATATACTTTTTCAAATTGTAATGATTTGCCGGTTTTTTCCATAAGACACAGATGTGGGGGAGTTCTGCTTTCTTTTCTTCACTTTAAAAGGACAGGTTTATCAGGAAAAGGAGAAAACACGACGCCACAGAGGCAGGGCCGGGCCCGGGGAGGGAGCTCGGCTCACACCTTCATCCCCACACATGCTTTACTCATCCCCAAAAGGCCTTACACCCTTGTCTGCCCCTGCACCCCACGCGCTTCTGCTAGCCAGCATATTTTTCAGAGATTCAAAGAATTATTCTCCTTGTTTTCCCAGTTTGTTTCCGTTGGTATTTCTAGTCCACGCACGAGTGAAATTCCCCAGGAACTGTCCTCACACCCGACTTCTTTCACTGAGCAAAACCACCTCAAGGTCCGTTCAAGCTGTCCTGTGGCCGGTGTCGCTGCCACCCTTTCTTCCTCGCGGGGTCCTGAGCTGGGTTCTGGCCCGGGCTGTTGGAACTCTCCCTGCCGTGGCCTCTTCCGGGACTGTTCTCATGTGCTTTGGCACATGAGTAGAAAAGTGCCAAGAACAACTTCAGGGACCTCAGTGGCTGTCTGGAGACGTGAGGCCTTGGAGACCCCACACACTGGAAATGTTGGTTATACGGTGTTGACATTTTCAATTTTTTTGAGGAATCTGCAAACCATCATCCAGGGAAGATGCATCACACGAGACCCCACCCAGCAGCGAAGGAGCGCCCTGAATACAGGGAAACTCTCTGAACGACGAACAGTCACTAAGGGAGCACGAGGGTACATGTGTTAGAGGAAATCACTGTCGTCACTGCCTGTGACCTGAGGCCTTTCCACCCTGCTGAGTCTGAGCCTCCCGGTCTCTGCCCAGCAGGCCCTGCAGGCTGCACTCCGCGGGTGACAGGAGTCAGATCCCGAGGGTGACCCTCTCAGTGAGCACAGCCTCCCCGCGATGCCCCTTGTCCCATAGGCCCCCAGTCTGTGCTGTTTACTCTGGGGCTCCTCCCAGGCCCTCGTCTGCCCCCAGGCCCGGGAAGCAGGGTCTCCCCAACGCCCCACGTCTCAGGAAACCACTGAGGACCCTGAAGTTGTTCTTGGCAATTAGCAGCAGGAAAAGTTTTCCCGACTCCTCTGAGCTCCCAGGCCTGTCACTGCCCGGGCAGCTCCTGGGACATGATAATTGCAGCTGTGAGGTGGAGTCCCAGCGGCACACACTATATCGCGGGGTGCGCTGGACCCTGCGGAAGGATGCAGGCTGAGCCCTTCCCTGAGCCCAGCGCCCGGGCGGCAGGAAGCCGGTGAGTCTCCTCTGTGCTCACGGGGGCGGGTGTGGGAGGGGACAGGGGTACAGGAGGGACAGGGGCAGAGGGGACACCCCGCTCCTGGAGCCAGACCTGGGAAAGCACCTCTTGAGCTAGTGACGACAACGGAGAGCAGGTCCCCACCATAAGCGTGCCTGGTGCCCGGCTCCGGCTCCTCAGGCCCAGGAGGCCGCGGGTCCCTGCAGCCCAGGAGCACCCTGACTCCCCTGACCTCAGCGTGGTGGATCTGGGGCTCCTGCTGCTCAGCCTCCTCAGGAGGGGCCCTGGCCTGATGCCCGGGGCCATGGGGCGTCTCGGGGCCTCCCTGCTGGTGAGACAGGGCCGGGGCTGCACGGGGCTCTGGTCCCGGCAGGAAGCCCGTCTGAGAGCCGGGGGGAGGAGACGGTCCCCGACACGGCGGGGGAGGCCGCCGCGGGCACGTTGTTCCGTCTCCTCCCCAGAGAACTGTCCACTCACTGCGGGCAAAGCGGCGCGCAGGAGGAAACAGAGCGGAGGCGATGTCGGGGCCTGTTGGACCACAGAGACAACGTGACCCTTGACCTGCCCTTTCAGAACGAGCCTCGCGGGGCTGCTCGTGGCGGCGGGGGCAGAACCCGGGACGGTGCGTGTCCTCTCTGCTCCCCGGGCCGTGGCTTCCCCTCCCCGCGCGTCTGCGGCCTGGACCCCTGTGCCGCGCCCGGCTCTCTGCTCACCATGAGGTGAAGGTCAGACTCTCCTCAGCGGTTGGGACCGTGATCTGACGTCGGGGCCGAGCTCGTGCCCACACACGCTTATCACACGGGGTGTGGGGCCCGTCGTCCCGGCTCAGGCCTTTGCCTGCGGCTCCCGGGGTGAAAGCAGACGGGCTGTTTCCAGGCTCCTGGCGGCTCTGGGCTCCCAAGCCCGGGGTGGGGGGACGGCTCTGCCCTCCCTGCCCGCGGTGCACCCAGTTAATTCACAGCCCTGGAGCTTGAGTCCCGGCTTGAATCCGTCTAGAGAAAAACCTTACCAGTGAGTGGAACCTTGTCAGGACCCGTCTTGGGAAATGAATCTGCCCTGGATGGCAGGACACACGCAGGGTCAGTCAGCTTCTGGTCGAGCTGAGGACTCAGCGGAGGGCCCCCTGGGGAGTGTGGGCTCAGTGGCCTGTGTCGTCCCCCGCCCAGCCAGGTCAGCTCGCCACTCCACCCGGAACCACTGAGTGAATCTGAGGGACCCGCATCCTCTCCGTGCCTGTGCGCCCTCTGCTCCATGAGGACGGGACAGCGCCGCCTCGGCAGTCTGTGAGGAAGGCAGTCAGCCTCCCTGAGCTATCCCTGCAACGGGGAGTCCTGGGTGTACGTTCAGCCCCCGAAAGTCTGAATAACTGGGAGCATTTCAGTGAACACCCCGGAGGGGGAGCTGTGTGGGGAGGGAGGACGGGGTAGCAGCTGACAGGTTGCCCAGCAGGGTCCTCCTGCTCAGGAGGCCCGTGCCAGCTGCTGAGAACTGACAGGATGGACTTCCGGGATTGGGTGGCGGTGATAGTCGTGTTCTTACTAGCTGGACTCGGGATCCTGGGGAATTTCTGTCTTCTTTCCCATCAGCTCTTCCTCTCTTTCCATGGGGGTAGGCCGAGGGCCACAGCTTTGATTGTCAAGAACTTGATTATGGTCAATTTGTTGGTCCTGTGCTCCAGCAGTATCTCCTATCCACTGACATCTGCTGGGTGGTATCAAGGCAGTGATTGGAGCTGTAAGCTTGTCTGTTATGTTTCTGGAGTGGGCAGAGGCGTGTCCATCAGCACCACCTGCCTCCTGAGTGTGTTCCAGGCCATAACCATCAGCGCCCAGGGCTCCAGGTGGGCAGGGCTGAGAGAGAAAGTTCTCAGGTGCGTCCTACCCTGCATTGCCCTGTGCTGGGTCCTGAGCATGTTGGTTAATTCCATCTTTGCCGTGTTCATTGGGGGCTATTTAAATGACA